CATTCTCGGTCTCTCCCTTGCTTTCTTCACAATTTCGTCATCTGTCAAGCGTTCGAAGCCAGGTTCGTTGACGTCACACTCCAACCACTCGTTAATGTTTTCAGCATCGACGTTCTCACCACCCGGAACTGTTTTCACCATATCGGCAAGAGTTGCCGTGGGCGTGTCTACATCTTCATTCTCTTCTTCACAACTCAAAGGGGTTAGGTTGTTGTTGGCTTCAACATTAGGCATGAGTTTTCTCCATGATTTTATGAGGGTTGACGGTTTCACTGAGTCCCATGCAGATGCAATATCGTAGATGCTGTCCAAGATTGTGTAGTGTTTCCAAAACTCTTTCAGATCATAACCTTCTTCAATTTTGGTCATTAGCAGCTTGGTTCGGTATGTTCTCTTCATTGTTGCAATGACTCCTTGGTCCATGGGTTGGATTAGCGCAGTAACGTTTGGGGGGAGAAACTTTGCAAAAATTTGTCCATCAGAAGACTTTAGCACGCTTGTTGCTGGGTGAGAAGGTGCGTTGTCGATCAATAGCACAGCTTTTTCAGGCAGGTTTTTTTCGATTTAAGATGTTTACGCACTTGAAGAACAAAGATTTTTTCGAACCATTCTTGAAAAATGTTTCGGTTCATCCATCCTTTTTTTTTTTTTTTGGTTAAAGTAATCAACGGGCAAATTTTCTATCCTTGTGCCTTTGAAAGATCTCGGTTTTTTTTTTTACTTTCCAATGACAACAAGTCTAAGTTTATGTCCACCGGTAGCGTTACTGCAAGACATGATAGTGATCCTTTCCTTGCTGCTTTTATGACCCGCCGCTTTACTTTCACTTTCAAATGCTAAAGTGCGAGTGGGAAGACATTTCCACAAAAGTCCCGATTCGTCGGCATTGTAAATTTGTTCAAAAGATAGCTCTTCTTTTAAAACAAATTCTTCAAATTCATGGTGGAAATCGTTCGGCTGCTTGTTGGTCACCACTAAGTTTCTCCCATGAAGTCCAATTTCTCGAATTCCATGTCGCTGCTTAAAACGAGTCAAATTTTCCCCCATGAAGTCCAATTTCTTTAATTCCATGTCACTGCTTAAAACCAGCCAGAAGACGCATCAAAAGTTCCTTTCAGGCCTAACAACTCAAAAAAGATTTTTGCTTTGGCTGCAATCATAGGACCATTTACAGGAGTACCCTCTTTTTGAACTTGAGCTAACCACTTTGTCAATGCCGTGTCATGCTCATCAAAGGTTTGTAGTGTTTCGCGTTTTCATTGCGGAAGCACTGCCCGACATTGATGCAAAGTTCACCAGTTTGTCTTTTTGCTTTAGAATATCACACACTGTTGTTTCCGTGATTCCGTAATCCAATTCCATCTACTGCCTTGTAGCGCCGTTTGCATTTTTGGAAATTAATTCTAGTTTTTGCGCAATCGTCAACACAACCTTCTTTCATTTTCTTGACATTTTAAATCCGTAACGAAAAACACAAAACCAAAAAGCACCAGCACTGAACACAATCAAAGATAAGAAATGAACTCCCACCGGTTCGCAAACACTATCCGGCTTAAACTAACAATGGCGAGTGGGAGGAAGTGGACGTGTCAGTAAGATTAAGACGAGAGAGGGCGGTGGGACAGGCACTGCAAGGGTGAAGTAAAGAAATCACTTACTCATCAGAGGGGAAGGTTACGAGAAGGCCTGGGATATTTTTGCTATACATAAGCACGATGTTAGCAAATTTAACGTTACGCTCAGTTTTGTGAACATTTTTATTTTCTTTGCTTTATGCTGGGGGGAAAAAAAAGCTTTGTGATTGTGCGGAAGGCGCGGATTATCCGCCCGCGATCTACTGTACTTTAAAATAGGCACTTCAAGGCTCCTTCCATGTCATCTTCACCACACATTACTTATTTTCTTTACCTCATTTCAGACTGCAGGTCAAGTTGGCCTTCATTCACATGCTGCTCATGAAGTGAAACATGCTAAATAGAAATTATGGTGAAGAAAGGAATTAAGCAACTCAGATGTGTTACAACTGCCATTTTTTTTATTGCAAGACAAGTTAGGTAGCAGAAAATTACCTAGAAGTTCTAGTTTTAAAGTAACAGACTATAATATATCTCAACTTATTTCCATTAAATTATGACTTTCTTAATGAAGTTTGCTTCTATACAGCTGATAACTGGATCATTGTGTATTCAGTAGTGCATGAATAGCGAGAAGCAAAACAGGTTTTTTTTTCATTAACTAATTATTGTCAGTATTTTTTTTTTTTCAAATAAAATTGCAACTCTTCATAATTAGCCTCCTTACTTATCATTTTTGGAACTTGTGCATTACTGTTTATTCCTAAAGAGAAATTTTGCCTTGGGTAGAATGAGGGTTGTTATTAATATTTCTGGCCTAATAATAAAAAAGCAAATGCTTTTAAAAATATTCTCCATGAAGATCAATACATTTTTGCATGCATTTGAAACAATTTTCGAAGCACTCGGATTGAGGTAACTCCAAAACATGCGTTTTGAATGCATCAACTTCTTCTTCGGGTCTAGCAAATCGCTGACCACATAATTTGTTTTTGATATTTGCGAATTATCAGTCACCTAGCAACGCTTACTGTTGCCAATACCAGAAATATAAATAGGAGTCTTCATGTTATTTTGAAAATACTTAAGAAAGCCACACCATCGAAATAAAAGAGTGTTCCCAAACTTGATGAATCAATCCATTTTTCTTATATCTTAAAAGACAAAGTGCAGCTTCACTAATATATATTCAATGAATGGAAATTAAATTAGTATTTTTCTGAAACTTTTTGAATAATTTTATGAAATTGAATAACATCACCTGATTGATAATTTTTGCCAGAAATGGTAACATATTTCAGACAAGGGCACAATATGCACACAATGTATATGTTTTTATATGGAACTACAGTCAAAAGTCGTTAATCCGGACTCGTCGGGACTTCGGCGATTCCGGATTATCGATTTTTCCGGATTATAGATCATCAGTTTAAATCTGGTAAGATGGCATGCAGAAATTATAAAATTAAAAATATGAAACCATAATTTATGAAATAAAGAACAATTATGATCTAAAGGGTATCAAAATTTACAAAAAAAAAAAAAAAAAAAACTTAATATTTATTTTTTTACTTTATTAAACATTTCTTTCAAAGTAAGTTGTTTAAGTTGTTTCGTTTTTTATGTGATAATACTTTCTCTTTAATTCTATAAACAGACATAATTTCTTGTTCAGTTACAAAGTTCCGCTGTTAAAGTCCTATAATTGCTGTGTCGAGAATACTGACAAATTCGTCAATCGGAATTTTTTCGTTTTTAATAACATCTGTGTCACTTTCTTCGCTATCGGAAGCAAATTATAATGAAGAGGAATTTGATTAAATCATATCAAAGACGGAGTGCATTGAGATGAAATACTACATTTAGTAAGGAATTATAAGCCAAATAAAATAAAAACATCTGCCCTGAAGATAAGGATAGGGCTGACATATCAACTTGCAATTCATTGCAAGCCCCCAAATAATTACAACCAAGCCACACCAAATAATTACAACCAAGACAAGATGCCAACGTATACTCTGGTTGGTTAACCTACATTCTGAAATGTAATGCCTATTGGCTTGTGTTATTAAATAGAATAATATGTTTTAAAAATTACTGTTTATTTTAAAATCAAATTGCTTTGAAATTTACCTTATTTTTTTAAACATTTTATATGCAAAATTTTAATATTACAGTTTATTCATTATTTTTAAATCATGTTCATTACAATTATAATTTTCCTTCAGAAATTTGAAAACTTTGTCTAACTTAATCTAATGTAATCTCTACTTTTATTCTTAATTTACATTTCATCTGTGTGTTAAAAATGTATAGGTATATTGCAATTAAATTTTTTCTTATTTTATCTTTCTTATTAAGGGTGGAAAGGTTGTGGAAGCCTTTCTTTGGCACGTACATCCGACCGTATGACATATTTTCGTCATATTGCTGCTTCTGCTGTGTAAGTATAAATTGCATTATTTTACATATGTGATAAGAACTTTAAAATAAATTCTGTATCTTTTAACACATAGTTTTTGTTCAAGTTAAAATTATTTATAATATGTTCTATCAAATGTATTCTGCTTATTACATTGTTTAATTTTTCTTAATATTTGAGTCCTGAATATCACCACTAGTGTACGATAAAAATTTTAGGTATGACTTCTACCAGAAGTCTGCTGTATTATTTAGTGGACAATTCTTTTATCACAACTGTTCTATCTAATAGATTTATTCATTGGATAATTTGTATTTTTGAGAATGAAACTCAAATTTTTGAGAATTCTTCATATCTTGGAATAAATATTTGAGAACATATAATTATACTCTGCAATTATGAAAAGGTATATCTATATACAATGATCTGCAGATTCCTTGAAAATTAAAATTTTAATCACACATTTTCATATAAGAGCAGTAATACAGAATGTTTCATAAAGATGATGTGACTGAATAGATCTTAAAATGCTAGTCTAAAACCAGTTAAATATCTTTAGAAGAATTAGTCTTAGACCTACTTCCTGTTTAAAAAACAAGAAAAATTTAAGATAGGCTTTCAGGTTTTGATTAGTTCATTACATGACACCTTTTCATAAAATTATACAAAATCTAAATATTTTATGTGTCCAGCAGAATAAAAGTTTCAGCCAAGCTGGAAAGTGTTATGAATGTTTTTGCATGCTGTGATTGAAGCAATTTACGTGTTTCATCTTCAAAAAATATACAATCAATTGTGAAAGTGTTATTTAAATTTAAAACTGACTAAAATTTTATGAAGGGTGTGACATTGCACATACATTAGTGTAAATATTTGTTTCTTTGTTAATGAAAATTTAATTTCAATTTTTAATTTCTACTTATTTTAATAAATTTAGTGCTAGAAATATAGAGTGTCATCTATTGACTCCAGCAGAAGCCCTTTCAAAATGTCCCATTATCAACACTGAAATGCTTAAGGTAAAAATATTTTCAAATTATATATTATATATATATATATATATAAAGACAGAAATAGAATGCTCTTTCATTAAGACTTCTTCATTAATTGCACAGGAGAAAATGCTAGAATTTATAAAGGAAACTGTGTTAAAATATTTTATACATTTTAATTAAGTAGAATCATGTCATATGGTAAGAGTTTGTCAGAAACTCCTACATTACAAATTTTTCCCTCTAAAAAGTTCTATTTCTTAAATTCTGATACAAAATTTAAAAAAAAAAAGGTTCACTGGCATCACTTATGCTTATTAAGTTTCTTAGAATAAGATACCTGAATTGCATGATGTATACTTTTATAACTTTTTTAAAATTTAGTAAATTTTAATTAAAAAATTTTATTTTCTTCGAAGATGAAAAATCTATTAACCCTCTGGCTGATCATCCCGCGATTTACACAAGCAACTCAAATGTAGCAAAATTTGCTCATCCCGCGATTTCTGTGGGCATATGTTTTTCTTCCTTTATTGAGGAGCACATCCCGTTTTTTCCCCCGTTTAACCATTGAAATAAATTATATACAGTATTATTAGGCGTTTAGTTTATGTTTTTGGCCAACAGATATCGGTAGTCGTCCACGAAATTGCGGCATTTGAAGGCACGTGGTATTGGCACTCAAACTTCACTTTTTGCCGTTTTTTTCTTACAGAAATGGCTGCTGGAAAACGCTCAGCGATTATCTTGATTATTTAATTAAATTATTTAATTGTTAATTAGATTTATTGATTAGATTAATAATTAGATTGATTATTAATTAGATTTATTGAATCTGGTGTAAAGACTCTGAAATTGGACTTGCCTGAACCCGTTTTGAACTCTATCATACTAACTGCATTTCTAGGTATTTTCCTCAGCGCTTTATATTTCTTACATTTTATACATTTTACTTTTTTATAATATGCAATAAATAAAAAATTAACTGTAATTTGACTGAAATTTATTTTAAAAAGGTGTTTTTTTTTTTTTTTTTTTTTTTTTTTGTGGTAAAATCTGAAATTGGTTTTTCTGGCAACTTTGTTTTTCATGATAAAAATCTATATAAAAAATGTTTTCTAGAAGGAAAAAGTGCATTTTTCAATTCTCCAATATATATAGATTTAAAATATGGGGAAAAAAAATTTTTTTGGAAGCGATTTTGGCCCACAATGATCAGTCAGAGGGTTAATTTCTAATTGATTACATATTTATTACATGTTGCCTGATATAATGTAATCTTATAATCAGGAGCTGAAAGTTTAAAAACTTTCACATGATTATCACTTGTTATAGTCAATATAGGCTCGAGATGATATGCTGGTTACATTAGTTAATTCGCCAGCAAAATTGGTCAGTACGTGCACGCAATTACTACAGTCTGTGTGCATCTGCTGATTATCAAATTTTAGACCCAAGAAGATACTGAAATTCCTGCAAATTTTATGCAATTTTGTAAAAAAGATAAATTCTTTCTACAATGAGTTGCTATTTTTTCTACCAAAATAAAGAATGTTGTAAATGTATTATAAACAAACTGGTGTAAAAATTTATGGGTTAGCTTTTTTATGTTCTCAATGATTTTGTGGGTTATCTACTAGTTATCATATTACTTTTAATTAGTAATACTGTCAAATGTGAATTTTCTGTAAAAGATTCCTTCATATGCGTTTTATACTTACCTCTAACTTAATAAATCATGTTTTGTTCATAATTTATTTCATAGCCTTCTTTGTATTCTAATTTTAAATTCAGAGAATAGAACTATGATTTCTATATTGTGTATTTAAATTTATTAATATCATCTGAAGAAAATTTTTGCGTAACTGCATATAGTTTATTTGCTTAGTCTCCAAAGTATTAGCTTTTGTTTTTATATTTATTTTAATACCTTTTCAGGACTGCATTCTTTAGTTTTATCTGTTTTTACCACACAATTTTTATATTGTAGCATTTAAAAAAATTTGATGAGCTTGCACTGTACATTAATACTATTGGTGGAAATTTGTGTTTGCTATTGATATCTTAAAGCTAATGTTTGGTTTTATGATCATGAACTATTTTGACAAATATGTTGCTGCCAATGTTATTCACATACTACCTTTTTAATTATATCCTTTTTAATTGTTTTAATTATAAGTAACAACATTAAAATGAACTAAAAGTTATATGGTACTTGCCTATTATTCCATTGACCATTGGCAGAAATTTCGACAATGGTCACCAATCACGAGTTGTTGCTGTGGAATTCTAAAGGACATGGTCATCCGAAATCGGTGCTAAATTGTATTACTTGGCCAGTCGATGGGATGATTTGTAAGTACCAATTATGTTAAATAATTTTATGGTAAAATATTTCAGTAGTTATAGGTAAATTATTAATTTTTCAATAATTACGGATTTGGCCATTTTCACCTATCTTAAGGGAGCTTTATGGATACCTGGTGATGGTGTAGGAGATCCTTTTGATGCAACACTTACACTTGCTTCTGAAGCTGCTCGTCTTGGTACAGTAAAATTGTTTACTTTAATTATTTATTTAAAGATATCCAAAATACCTTACATGATATATGCATGTGTGATATTAAGTTTTTATATAATTTCCCTAATTTAGCTGTTATAATTTTATTAATGTTTGAAAGTTTAGTATCTTAAGTGATTGCTAGAGCTTCTAGGTAATTTTAAACATAAACTGGTGTCCAAAATTAAATTATTAAACACAAAGTTTAGCAATGTTATCCAAACCATTTGATAAAAATGTAGGCACATAAAAAATAAAGTTACACATGTGTGTACCTTTATGTATGTGTGCACATGTGTATGTACCTGTACTTTCATACACACATACTCTTTACTCTTTAGACATATATACTCATCATACAGACTTTATATAAATTGAAAAAGAATTTTTTTATCTGTCTTTGTTGGCAAGCCCAAAAGGCAAAATTCAAAATGAGAAAATATCCTTTAAATAATGGAATCAGGAGATAATCCAAGAAGTGTAGTAGAAAGATTATGTAAAATTGTAGCTCTGTGAGAAAGCAGATTACAGTTCATATGTTCAAGTACTTTTCATTTCTGGAAGAATTTTAACTACCTGATGAAGAACTTGCTCGATCCTTTCAGTTTTTCATTAATTGCAATCTCTCTTTTGTAATTCCCTCCCCCTTATATTATCCTCTGTTTACTAGGTATGGCAGCCATGAAGGATCAAAATTATTTTTATAATTTACTTATTTTGTCACGTTATTTGTAGCAGCAGTTGATGGACAGTTGCTGGAATTTTCATTTCTCCTGTATATATATAAATTTGTTTTAGAATGCTTTGTTATTCAAAAAACCTATGTTCTTAGATCTAAGCAAATTAGATTGTATATTCAGTCTCAGTACTACTGATCATAGACAATTGACTGCCCACGTGCAAATTTAAACTGGTTGCCCATTTTTGAAGAACTATGATATGTTTGATAATCATTTCGCCACCTTTAAATTTGGCTGCCCATGTGCTGTGCATCATCTTGCCCCCCATGTTCAGTCTACTTGGGAGCAAAATGAATATTTCTCGTTCTAGGTCAGTGGTTCTCGACCTTTTTGCGCCATATACTGCCTTCACCATTGATAGATCAGTCTCTCCCCTCCATTCCCAAATTTAAAAAAATAATACATTTATTTTGATTTCATTTATTTTTTATCATTTTTTTATAAATTAAACAATAGACAGATATGGAAAATATTAAAAAATACCAAAACTTGGATAAAAGTAATTTTTTATATTCATGAATTAAAATTGAATATATAACAGCTGAGTAAAAGTCTAACCATTATTTACCCTATAAGTATGAAATCCCCCTCCCCTTACCAGTTGAGAACCTCTGTTTTAGATGCATGCCAGAAGTTTGGTTGTGTATGCAAATGCTATCTATACAGCTTTTATCTGTTCGTCCAACATTATCTTGACAGACAGCTTAGATGACAGTTGGCTTCTGCCAGGATGAGCTAACAAGGGACTTGAATATCCATCTGATATTCCATTGACTGTAATAGCAGGAACTGAACTACAGTGGTGGGATTTCATGAAGAACTGGCCAAAATTATTGAAAAGAATGCTGCAATTAAGAAGACAGTTGCAGTGTTTTCATTAAAAGAAGCATGTTAAATACAAAGACAATAGGTTTTTAATATAGCCTTGGGACTGTATTTCAGAGCTTGTTCTACTGGATTCATGTTGATTGGCACCAAATTTGTATTAATTGCATCACCTTTCTGATGTTAATTACTGATGCTGTCAATTTGCTTTGCATATTTTATTCCATTTTTTTTTTCTTGCAGCACCCATCACACTAGCAATGTTTTTAAGGCAAATCATATATTCTATGTCTAATAAAGTTGACTTTTATGCCAGGCTACTTTTTTTTTTTTTTTCTTCTATCTTGTGATTTTATCTAAATTTCCCAAGAACATTTTTCTATCTGGTAGGTCCAAAATAACTCTTGCTATGTGGATGAACAATATGTCTGCATAGGGGGTGTATTACTGATTAGTGGTGGCATAATATTTTCACATGTTTGAAAGAGATAATGCAAATGTTGTACTACTGTATGCATTTGACTATTATAATTTGACGTTCTGAGGCCTGTTTTGATGCATCATATTTCATATCAGAAAGGAAAGAACAGTATTGATTATGTAAAAAATTATTGCATTCTCTTGTACATATATGCTTTTCTGGTATCATTAAATAGCATATTCAACTGGCAGCTGGAAGATTTATGATTTGAAATCCAGTGAGTTTCTGTTGCTTATTTCTATTTTCTAGCTCTGGGAAACATATTAATCATTGCAATTATACCAGATCTAATTAGTTTATTCTTTTATATTATCATGTGGCTTATTAAGCACCATTATTTGCCAGTGGTTTTATTTTCATTTATATAACAATAGGTTATCATGATGTTTTGACTGTATGTTGTAAAGTGACTGTATATACAGTTAAATGCCTATTAACTGGTACTTAATTAACCAGCAGTATCAAAATAATAGCACTTTTGAGAGTCTGGGTTTAAATCCAAAATGTAGACCTATGAGCTAAAAAATGTGTAGTGTGCTAACAACCTACTGAAAACAATTATGCTATGTTTTCCCCATGTACCAATTATTATCCAACCTGTGAATCAAAGAATTATCCAGAATATAAAGATGAACTAGAGATTCATTTTTATGTGTCTGTGCGTGAACTCTGAAAGTAGTTTCTGTGATTTTCAGAAACGTTGCACACTTAAAGATGCCATATTCAGTTTGTCTCTTTCCTGGAAAGACACAAAGAATATTATTTTATGTCACTGTTTGTGTGAATTGTAAGATATGATCATGTATGTAGATGATGAATCGTGTGGCAAAAATTCTCATAGTTTTAAAACATGGCTAGCACTTGTGTCAGACATTTCCTTACTTATTCTGAGAATATTATTGTTAGTGAAGAGGAGGTGTAGGCTTGGATGAATGTAAGCAGTTCTATTCCCAATGTATTCTTCCAAGATGGCAACAAAATAGTTGGACATGTACTTGAAAAGGAGGACGTCAAAGAGGAGGAGGACAATGAGTATGGACAACATGCAAAGCAAGAAAGGAAGTTGCCGAAGAATTGCAGACTATAAGATTTCCTGAGAAAGTTCATTTATGCCTGTATATGATGTTATGAAGCTTCCCTGTCACAGCAAGTTTTTAAAATTTTGCTCACAAATTTATAAGCAAGCAGATGTTCGAAATTATATGCCATCATGTTAAGAAATTCATAATTTTCATAGGATAATCAATATTGTAATTTTGAAATGCTATTTAATTTTGTTTTTCAGAAATACAAAATCTGGGTACATGTTTTAATTTTAAATAGTTTATATAATTTTCAGTATTATTTATTGAATTTTGGTCCATAGATCAGGAACACTACTGGCAGATTTTGTAGACTGCAATAATTATACACGACATCAAAAACCATGAGCAAGTGAATTCTAAAAATCAGTTATCCAGAAAAACCTTTTATCCAGAATTGGTGCAACCCCAGTACTGCCAGTTAAAAGAGACTCTACTGCAATGCATTATGTACTTTTTTAAGAATATGTTTGGCTTTTATAGTAAAATATAAATTAATGTGTATTCATATTTTCTTCCATTTTAAAAAAATGAGTTGTTAAATTTATACTTTATGTATGCGCAACCACAAACTGCATAGTTATATAATTTTCTGACTTTTTAGGGGTGACTTTCATAGAAAACTGTTCTGTCCAGAAAATAGTAACAAATGACAAGCATGAGGTTCGAGGCGTGGAGACTAACAAGGGCCTTATTACATGTGAATACTTTGTAAATAGTGCTGGGCATGTAAGTCATTTAAGCATTATAAATTGTGCTTTTAAAAAATTATAGCATAAATATGCATTTCTGATAGTAAAGCTGTCATTATATAGATAGTGGTGAAACTTACTGCTTTTATGTAGATTTTCCTTCTTATTGCAGTATTCTAGTATATTTATATGTAATAGAAAACACTGATGTATTGCTCATTAGACATTTTTATTCATGATATTTAGTGGGCAAATCATATCGGAAGAATGAGTTATCCTAGAGTCAAAGTTCCCTTGTATCCTTGTGAGCATCACTATCTTCACACTATGCCTGTAGAAGGAATTGATCCTAATATGCCAGGTTTATATGTTTTAATTTGTTCTTCATTTTTCATTTTATGGGATTAAATTATACAAGTTACTATTATGTAGGATTTTTGTGAAGTATAACTAATTTGAAATACAAATGTAATGCAATTTTTGAACATTATTTATTAAATGTAATTTTCTCTCTAATACTAAATAATGCTTATAATTCAAATATGTGTTTTATTCTTTATACTGTTATAAAAACTAAATTGAGGAATTTTTATCTTTTTGAACTCTAAATATTTAAAAGGATATTTAAAAATATAAACATATATTTAAGAGAATGCTATGGTAACACCTTATTGAGAGATTTAAGTAAAGCAAAAAAGGAATAAATAAGGTTAATTGTTTAAACCAGATATTTCAGTTTTTATAAATACGGCTCCTTTTTTTTTTTTTTTTTTTTTTTTTTTTTTTTTTTTACTTTTTAAACTGTACTATATATTAAAAACTTACTCTGTTAGCTGAAGTTATAATATAAAAACTCCAATTTTTGGTGTAACTGTAAATAAGTAATTTTCAATTTACTATTTTTATCAAATATGTATTAATGTACTAATATGTACTAGTTTTATCAAATACTGTTATTCATTTTACCTGCTGCATTTTATTTCTAGTAATTCGAGATTATGATGGTTATTTCTATATTCGTGAAAAAAATGGAAGCTATCTGGCTGGTGGATTTGAACCTATTTCAAAGCCTTTAGATTTGAAAGAAATGGAATATCCAACTTCTTTCAAACCACTTGCGGAAGACTGGGATCAATTTCGTAAGCAATATTATATTAATTTTGCTTGTATTTATTTGTTTACCTATTTGTTACATGGTATTTTTTAATGTTAATTATAAATAAATTGATGTTTTTATATTAAAAATTTGAAGAACATGACCTTTATAACTGTTATAGAGTAAGAAAGGTGTTTGGTGCTATAATTTGACTCACTTTCATTTTTTGCATCATAATAATATTGAAATTATAATAATGTTATTAGCCTTTTATGCTTTTGTTTCTTTTTTTATAGAGCTAAAATCCAACTGAATTCCTCTTAAGACTAAATTTCCTTTTTTTAAGGCACACTTCCATTACTGTGTTTAATACCTTATTTAAAAGATATTATTTTCAAATTCAGTGAATGATGTATTTGAATTAGAACATTCATTCAGCTTAAGTAATTTTAAAGTTAGATGTAAATTAACCACAGTTTAGCAGTGGTTTTTAAGTATGCGTTAATATTATGTATCATATTAAAGGTAACTTTTAGTTTTTTGATGTGAAATAATTTACTTTTTCAATAATAAGTCTCATCTACACTTAAATTACATCATAATCAGTTAGATTAGTAGACTATTACAAATTTTGGTCAAGAATGTGATGTAAAATTTTCCTGTATTAAATACTGATGTCTCTCTCTTTTGTATATATCATGATATATATCATGATATATCATGATATATATCATGATTTGTATATATCATATAAACTAAAACTATTAATTAAATAAAAAGTTTCTTTAGAAACTGATTTCATAAATTAATTTGGAGATTCATATGTATGTATTCAAATGGTAGCATATGTTAAAGAGCATTTACTAAAAACATCTTTTTACTGGTATGTGTTAATTATTTAAAATTTTGATTTGGAGAGTGAGATGAGTTCCCTGTGTTATTACATATTTGAAATTTAAAGCTGTATTATTATAATATTTATGCATTTGGTCAACATTTATGTTGTATTGGAACAATTTTGTGATTGGTAATATTTTGTCAGTTTTTATTACAGTAAAGCAAATGCATTTATGTAATAATAATGGATGTTAAAATTAAATAACTGCTAAATAAAATAAAGTTGACTTGGATATTGAAGAAAACCTTCAAGCTCCACATACAGATAGAATGTTGACTTCGAATGTTGATGATAGAATCAACAGCTTTCTCAAATAGATCCAAGCCTAACAAATGAGAAACTATTTGAAGAATATTGATGATGTTATTTATAAGAAATGTCTAATAGCACTGAAATGAAGGAGATGCTTTACTTGTTAGAATTAAGGGTAAACATCCAATCAGTAATTTCCAGTGAAGTTTTTCATAATAAGCTGCACTGTTAATGATTTATATATTGAAATCTTGTAAAATATACATTTGTATGTATCTAGAATTTTTTCATTAAATTAATTGCACTCACTTTTTTGGGAAATATTTTCCCTCTTCATTTAATGTTATCTAGTTTATGTTATCGATACAACCATATACGAATATTATCATTTTAATTGATGCATACTGTATCTTCCTCACTTAAAATGATTTTGTCTTAACCATAATTGTAAATCAATAGTATTCCCCCCCCCCCCGAAAAAAAAAAAGCAAATTTAAGTTTTTCAGGCTTTTAATGAAATCCTTGTTAGTTATTTAATATAGCCAAAATAATGGCCTTTATAGCCAAAATTATAATGTTTATTTTTAATAACAAATTTCATTTAGCAGTTTGATATTTAATTTATATATGAAATATTATTGATTCATAATTATTTTAAAAAGAAAAATCTTTTTAAGATTTAATAATTATGGGTTTTAAGTTAACTTTAGAGTACCTCTTGTATTATCATGAAGCTGTTGTATAATTTATCACCAAGTTGTTGTTCCGTTTATTGCCAAGTTGTTGTTTCATTTATGGTAACCTGAGTAGTTGAATGTTATGGAAACCCTATTATGACTTAATCGTTTGCGTTATTTCGGGAAATTTTGAATCATCTTTTGTGGTGTGTGTGGTTAGAAAATACATTGCTTGTTTAGATGGTAGAATGGTTGAATGTAATAAGTAAGATTAATTTGAAGTGGATATTTGCTTTGTGTAATGCTTAAACTCATAATCCTTTTTTATGTTATTTTATTGAGATTATGTATTTTTTGTTTGCCTCTACTGTAGATTTGGGTATTCCTTTGACTTTTTAAGTGAAAATATATTGATGTGTACATGGACAAACTCAAGGGAGTGCACAGAGCCTAGTTTGTGTAATTTCTGTTTATTATTATTATTATGTGAATATAGGTGGATGTGTACATGGATAAAGGGAGTGTGCAGTGCCATTTTTGTGCAATTCTGGGATTTTTTTTAAGTGAAAATAGGTCAATGTGTACATGGATATCGAGTTTGGGCAATTTTTTTGCTTTGTGTAGTGGCAATTTTTGCGCTACACAAGCCAAATAACGAGACTTGCACAAATTCGGTATCCATGAGATGCCAAAAATCGGCGAGTTTCGCCAAGGGGTACCCTAAAATATACTTTTACCTAATTATGTATTAATTTACCTTGTAATTTTTCAGTGGTGATCAAGTCATTTTTTCAGTAGTCGGCATCTGTGTATGATCATTTTTATATTATTGTTAATAAGTCCCTCCTCCAAACAATTGCTTTTGAAGAATTTATTTATTTCATCTTTTTCTCCTTCCAAGTGCTTTGAAGATTATTACCGATAAGCTTAATACTAGTGCTTTGCTGAATGTAAATTAAATTTTAAAACAATTATGTATTTGTCAATACATTTTTATTTTTCAAGGTACAGTACAAAGTCCGTAATCCGGACTCGTTGGGACTTTGGCGATTCCAGATTAGGGTTTTTTCCAGATTATAGATCATCAATTTAAATCTGGTAAGATGGCATGCAGAAGTTATACAATTAAAAATATGGAATCATAATTTATGAAATAAAGAACAATTATGATGTAAAGGGTATCAAAATTTACAAAAAAAAACCTTAATATTTATTTGTTTACTTTATTAAACATTTCTTTGAATATAAGTTGTTTAAGATGCTTCCACAAAAAATTTTAAAAAGTTCCATTTTCTTGTGTCATATATAGTGGACTTTTCAGGGCCATACTTCTCGTATAATTTTGAGACGGATAGGCCTTTATTCATTTTTGCAGCAATTCCACTTTTTGTTTAATGGACATTGAAACATGCTTTCGCTTTGTAGATCCTTTGGCAGCTCCAGAATTGGAAACTCTTTGACATAATCAAAAAGTTCAAGTTTAATTTTTATAAAATTGTTCGAACAGTCTGCAAAAAATAATAAGCCGGATCCAATAAGAAGATTAAGGAACAGCGCCACATTAACTGAAATGCCTTAGATAATTTTAGCCTAGCTTATACCGTCCATTATACATTAAACACGTATGCGTTTATGCATGCGCATAAAGTTTGTAGCTTTGAGGTCCGGTGATAGATCATTCCGGATTATGGACGTCCAGATTACAGACTTTGTACTGTACTAAGTATTAAATGTTGGCCATTTTCTTAATGTAAAATTGCCTATAAAATTCATAGACTATTGCTAATTTGAAAATAATAGGATGAAACATTTAAAGAAACATTTATTTTTATATCAATAATAATATATCTGGTAGGAATGTTTTCTTTGTTTTGAGTGATTGTATAAAGTATGAAAATATTTGAAATTTTGCTAGAATTATTTGAATAAAAAAGTATATAATTTAGCACCTGTGCTTTCATTAATAGAAGTTAATTATTTCCATATGCTTATTTTCATAGTGGAAATTTAAGAATATGATTAAATAATAATAATTCAAATAGAATTCAAACTAGTACATTTTACTGCATTTTTCTGTATGTTTCACTCTGGGTATTTATTAAACTTTTACACTTGTCAAAGTGTTCATATAACATTCATTAAAATATTTTGTCTCATTGAGTGTGGATCAATTTTAACAATAATCGATTTGTTATTTGTTTCAGATACATTGTTAGAACAGGTGCTTTTCCGTATACCATCACTTGGTAGAGTAGAAGTTGAAAGTTTGTGTAATGGACCCGAGAGTTTCAGCCCAGATTGTAAATTACTTCTTGGAGAAGCACCTGAGGTGAGAAAACTAGTCACAGAGCTTAAGATTTCTTAATTGATTTTTTTTTTTAATTTTATTTTATCCTTTGTGAGAAACTTAATGAAAAAGTTTTGCATGCATTTTTTATGATGAAATTTTTACAACTTTAGCCTGTGGAATGTAGTACATACTCAATAAAATGATTCTGCATAGTTTTATTATTTTATTCACTAGAAACAAAGTTTAAAAATGTTTTAAAATAAATATTTTAGAATTTAAAAAATTCTTTATCATGTATCCGTGGAAGCATAAGGCTCAAATACATAAATTTAAATACATTCACCTCATATTTTGTCATTTGTTACATATTATACATTTCATTCAACATTTTGTCATTTATATTTAATATATAAAATCTGTTTAATTTGTAGTAACATTCTTTTTTTAACTTTTTTTGAAGTAATCATATACCTGAAATTGCCGTTTAAAGATTCTAAAAAGCTTGAAGTTTTAGCAGAGATTGCAGAAAATTTGCATAATTTAGTGCTTAAACAAAAAATAAAAAACTTTTATTATCGTGTTATTGAAAGCTGTTTATTGTATTGAAGTGAAATTGTTACCATTTGCTCTTGTTAAGTAGAAGCTGTGTCTTCCTCTCATTTGAATTCGTAAGACCTGTCTCATTTTCTTGAGGTAATTCCAAGTTAACTATATTTTTTTTTTCTTTAAGGTGAAAAATTATTTTGTGGCAACTGGCATGAAGGCTACTGGAATGGAATCTGCAGGAGGAGTTGGAAAGGTAACAGCTGACTGGATTGTAAATGGTGAACCACGAATGAATGTTTGGGATGTTGACATCAGAAGATTCCTTGGGCTTCACAATAATCCTTTGTTTCTGCGAGACCGAATGGTTGAAGTTCCTGGTATGTGTTGTCCTGCTGTTTTAATGTTGTATATGTATATGTCAGGTATTGTTTTTAATTTGATGCAATCAGCATAACTTTTAACTATTTTATAACTGAAATGTTCATTTCAGTAATAAAATATATTAGGTTATCCCAGTGTATTCTAGAATTTTCTGACTTTGGTAAGAAATGGTTAAGTAAATTGGAAATATGTTTTATTATTGCTTATTTGATCCCTTCACAAGTTAATGAGACTGTGACCTTTTTTTTTACTGCAGAATTTGAAGAAAAACATCTTCTTTAGATTAGTTATATCCGAAAAATCATTTATATGTGAAATATAAAGTATGTGTCGAGAGCTAAAAATTATAATTACTTATTTAATATTACCTTTTTCAAGCATTTATTTATGAGCAGTAAATTTTTCCAAAGCTTTGTGTTTCATATTTATTATACATCTGGAAAGATTTTTACTTCAACTTAATATTTCTATTTGATGTGCTATATTTTAAAAGAGCGTCTCACATTTCAGTCTTGGCGGTAATATCTTGTTTCTTCTTAGCTTCTTGCCTTGGTTGTTGTTCTTAGAGTAACATAGTGCACATTAATGAGCTACTTTGCTTTCCTTTTTAGTAGTAAGTTTTAAGAAATGACCATTGGTTGATTGCAGTGGATTTGTTACTTTTTAAGATGATCTCTGAGTTAAGTTTTTTGCTGCCTTTTCCAGCAAGAAGATTAATCAGTTAGTTATGTTCTAAATTGATGGTGTGATTTTGTGATGATTGTTTTCACGTACAGAAAGTATAGGGCTTAATTTCTAAAATCAGAAGTGCAAGAGCCCTATGAAAAGTAGTGAAGATAAATGAATAAAATAAGTAATAAAATAACTAACAATTAGAATAATTAAATAATTAAATTAAAATTAAAACTCGGTTAAATATAAAAATATAAATAAAAATTTAATAAATTAATACATTTTTGATTAATATTAAATTAAAAAAATAAAATATTGAACCTCTTCTTATTTGGGACACCTACTGAACTTAAAAATTCATTCAGAAACTAAAAAATAGTTCAGCCAGACTCCATCAGAATTTAAGATCTGCATATATAATATAGCATACTATTTTGAGGGATAAAAGAAACAAAAATCGTTCTTTTTCTGTGACACTGATGGAAAAAAGTAAAATGATTAAAGCATCACTAATGAGAAAATTGCTAAAAACAGTATGGAAAGAAATTTTAATGGAGAAGTATAGCTTTGAAAATAAAGAGTTCAACAGTTTCTGACCATAATGCGCTGTCGAAATAATTCTAGCTGTCAAGTAGAATGCAATTGGGTAAAAATTATTTCCCCCATATCCGATCCAATAACAACATGAGAACAAATGTAAGGTCTACATAAATTATAATTATCTTATTCTATATTTGCTTACATACAAGATGTGGCAATAAAAAAAGACCAGTATCAGAAATATGATTTATTGCAAACAAAGTTACATCTGACTTCTATCTCCTTCAACATACTCCCTCCCCTATCTATACACCACTACGTATGTGCCATTCATTGTTCCAAGCGATGTTGTAGGTCACCTATCGTCACTCTATTCAACAGTCCTGTTATTTTTGCTTTTACCTCATAAACAGATGGAAAATATGTTACCTTCGATGCACTTTTCACTTTTGGGAACTTATAAAAATCACAGGAAGCAAGACTGGTGAATATAAATAATATGAGCATAGATAGGAATGTGCGTGTCTGCTAAAACATGTTTTATAGGGAGGCCATTGTGAGGCCATTGTATTGTCCTGGGCCAAAATCCATGTGTTGTTCCTTCACAAATCTGCTCTTTTCTTCCTGCTGTTTCCCTCAAATTTATTAAGATTTCTTTGTAGTATTTCTAATTAACAGTTTAACCCTTAGGTACCTATTCAGTCATGATAACATCTCTGATATCGGATGGGGGTAGATCAGCATTGCCTTCAGTTTTAACTTGCTCATTCATGCTTTTATCATTCTCGGCAATGTGGGAGTCTTCCCGTGCGTCAACTGACATTTTGTTTCTTGGTCATACTGGAAAATCCATGTTTAATCACATGTGATGACATGTGTGAGCAAGTGCGGTTTTTCATTCATTCTTTGACATCAAGGCAAATATTCTTTCAATTCTCTTTTTTATTCCTTAGAGAGGTTTTTTGGAACCATTTTTTTGCACAAACTTTTGTCATGTTTAATTCATCATGCAAAATTTGTCTTACTGTTTCTTGGTTAATGTTCACTATGTCTGTGATCATCCGAATGTTCAGACATCGGTCTTTCTGCACAGATTCATGAATTTTCAGAACACTTGCTTCAGTTTTTGAACTGGCAGATCAACCAGGTTTTCATCATCTTCAACCTCTTCCTGACCTTCTGAAAACCATTTGTGTTATTCAAAAACTTGTGTACGTGTCATAGCATTATCACCAAACATCTCGTTTATAAAAGCAACTTTTTTAATTTCACAAGGAATATGAGATTAATGCACTGCCCAATTTTTAAGTTCACCATGATCGTGATGCTTTATACAGAACAGCATACTCAAAACAGAACCAAAACTCAAAAGCAAACTATAAAGGAGGCAGAAAGATGAAATGAATGGTGGCTGCTTTTGAAGGTCAACTAACAGCATTCCATTGCCAACCTTCCCCTATGAAGTTGCGTGATAGGAGATGTGTAGTCTCATTATATAATTGCCTCGTTTCATAGTTCAAAAGTCTGCAGGGGTTCTGCAGTGGAAAGTCACTATCACTGGATGTGCATGACCAAAGTAATCCCTTTTAATATTTTAGGGAATGAAAAGTTATACCTGCCTTTCATAAGTCATTCCACTACCTGGAAAATGATCTTTTGACATGTGGGTGGGGGCTTTTCTTTCCATAAAAATATCGCCTCTGGCAAGTGTTTGTTTCATGCTTTGCTTAAATAAAAGAAGTGCTCGCACTGGGCTTTGGCACAGTTTAAGCACTGAGCACAATATGGATTCTATGCTACTAAATCAAGAGGATAGAGCATTATTTTCCAATACTTCTTCCTATCTCTCTTAGCTATAGGAAAATGAGTTAAGTGCTGATCAGTTATACCTACTCTTCCCATTATATCATTATTTTGTGTTGCAATAATTGATTTATTTGTTTCTTCATTTCTTTTTCTAATATCAACCATTCCTGTTTTGTATATAGCTGACAGCGGTGAGACATCTTTTATCTTTCTAATGCAATAGGCAAGCTTTTCTTCTTTGATAAGTGACAGTTTCTCCTTTTCCTATTTTCTTTGTTTGAGTGTCTTGGCAAATATCTTTTCTATTTAATTTTTTTGTTTTTATTGTATCCATAAAGCATAGAGATGTGCAAAATCGCTCCTTTAAGGGATTAGATCAGAACTGTTGCTCACTGAAGGAAATCAGTTCTTTTTAACTTCACCACTCACTGAAAATAACCTTGATGAATCACTCAGAACAAGCATGGATCAAGAGTGGTGTGCGAAAAAGGGGTAACAGCAGAGAGAATTGAACAAGGAGTGAGATCATTGGAATCAACTCAACCAAACCACTACTCCTTGGACTGATTTCTTTCAACTGTACTTAAGAGATTCTCTAAAGAAACCTTTTTATGTAGAACAACAATAAAATACTGGAATAAAAAAATGCTAAAAGTTAAAAAATAATGAAAATTAAACTCACTTTTTTTAAAGATCATATTATTTTTTTACCATAATTAATATTTTGTTACTACTATGAAGCACAGTGTAAAAATTAATTTTTAGTTTGGAGGCAGATCCCAAAGAACAGGAAATTGTCTGCTGACAATACTGACATTTTTTGGCTCTTCTATTTGGTAGGGTCCACATTTTGTTCTGCAACCTTGAAAAAATATATTAGATGGAAATACTAATATTTATAAATATATACTAATTCTAAAGAAGATTAGAGAGAAATTCACAGCTCTTGGTTACATAACATTAGTAAAATAAGTAAATAAATAAAAATATAATTTATTATTTTACATAAGTATTACAATACTATTGTATAAGAAAGGTAATACCTAAGGTACATAGCTATACTATAACACAGCATTCAAGGAATCAAAATGAAACTCAAAGGAACAGCTCCAAGGAAGCAAAAAGAGCAAATAATCAATACTCCATACGAGCCAGATTTGTGGCTAGAGCAGGAGTGATAAAAAGAGCAAATAATCTTGACTTCAAAGGACCCAGATCTCTGACTAACACCGGAGCGCTGAGAGCTGGGAATCCTAGGAATTAGTTTCTGTAATCTAAGTACTTTAAATAGATCCTTGCACTGCCAGACTGGGGGGGGGGGAACTTCATCTATTTGCAAACAGGGGTGGCCAGTTTTGCTGAAATGTATAGGTTTATTTAATGTTTTGTCTTTTAAATACTAGATGTAACACAAGCAAATCAAAATCACACATATATACAGACATAACAAACAAAAAAATAGGTGTGGGATGTTTCCGGTAAATAATAAAGGAAAGAATGCTAGTACTTAAGTAAAGAGGAATCAAATTTTTTGGCATGCTTCCCAACAACAACTCTCAATGAACTGGTACCGAACTGCCATTCCTTTTTCAAAGGAGCCCTGATCAGTTGAGTAAAGTGAATCGGTACTGGATTAGATTGCTCATCTCTAATTGAGTAAGCTATAAGTTTATCAGCTAGTTCAGAAGAGGAGCAATAATTAATTATTATGCACCTTGTCTTGTGGATTCTTCATTAACTGAAACCAGTTAGTGAAGAAATGCAAGGTTCTGTGACCTCCGAGTCCAACAATGTACCTTTGCGTGTATAAATAATGAGTGACCATAACATGCCATTTCAGTTCAAGGAACATACAGTTTTTGAACCCAAATCTCCCTCTTTTCATCACTGCATATTGTTTTCATCCTAAATGAGAAATGGTATTCCTTCATCTGCTGAAACATCAGAATTATTTTGATCAGAGTTATTTTTTTATTTATTAAAGATCAGAATTATTTATTTCAGAATTAAAAATTGTTGTAAACTTTTAGGTATAGTTAAACAGACCAAATCTTATTCAGCTTCCAATCTGTATGCATGTTTTTATCAAATGTTTTGTTTTCATTAAAATTTAGATAAAAATGTACATTTATTTTAATTAAAATTTATATAAAAGCAAAAAATGACAAGGAAAATAATGAATGAATGATGATGATATATATATATATGTGTGTGTGTGTGTGTATTAACAATATGTTGCAGCATAATTAACACAAAAAATGGAAGAATTTCATTTGATGTTAAGGGCTTCCAATATTTTCCATGTGAAAGTAGACATAAATTATTTTCCTGCCATGATTGTTTAACATAGTGAATAGTATTAAGTACAATAATATTTGTAAGATTATCATCAGAAAATTGTTCAGAGATTTCTATAATTTGACTTCCATGTGAATGGATGAAGATCCAAGGAATAGAAATTTCAGTGGGGCCAGTGGAAGATATTGCACAATTTTTACAAAATATTTATACCTCTTCTCATAGTCATCTTGCAGACTAATTTTTGTAAAGCTAAATTCTGTAAAAGTCAAAGAGCTTCCAGATTCACTAAATTAACTTTTATAGAGCCTTTACAATTATTGATACCACTTTCTGAATTGTCCAGTTTTCTTTTTGTGTTTCTCATTTTTTATTAACACATAAAATTAAACTATGCAAATTACAACAATGTAACTAAATTACATGGTTTTAATAATAAGATTATGAAAAAATTAAATTTTTGTTTGAGAAACTTTACCAAGTGAAACATTTAGCAAATACAACACAAGGTTTCTGAAAGAAAGGAAGTAAAAATAAAATAAAAAAAAAAATAAAATTTCTACAAACTTATTCTTACAGCTATGTAATGCATCTATGAACAGGAAACAAAACTAAAATAATACAGGATAGTCAAAAACTGGAATGAATAGGATAATTGGAAATGGGATGTCCGTACCAGACACAGGCAAATCATGCTGGGTAAAAAGGCATTGCTTATACGACATATAGTCAAAATTGTTAAGCAGTTAAAATAAAAATGTTTAAATGTTATATATTGCATTTATTTATTCAATTAGAATTTTTCTAATATGTCGTTTTTTTCATTTGTTTCACATACGCTTTTAGCCATGAATTAATATTTTCTGCACCGAAGACAAATTTTATTAAAAAATATAACAAATATGTGTATAGTTAATGCTAATTATAATAATTCCTTGTTTCCTTCAGAAACAGATGTTATAATGAGTGATCATCATTGTAAAAGTGGGTTTAATGTATTTTTAATATCTGGAGATTTTTTTACTGGTCATTATAATGGAATGGTCAGTATAATGAGCATTGACTATGTTATCAAAATTGTTTCAGTAATTAAATGGCAAATATTTATGTTTCTGAAGATTATGTTCTCAGCATTTTAATTTGCTAGATTTAAATGAATAAAATCAGTATGTGGTTATATATACATGTGTGTTGTGTGTTGCATATATGTACGTATTTATATATAAGAATATTTATCACAGGCGTTTAGTCTTTATACATTAAAAAATATAATATTAAATAATGATTGGTATATTATTTGCTTTGTTATTAGCTGCGTTAATGCAATTGAACATGAGATGTGATTTTTTTTTAAGCTTAGAATAGTTATTTTCTCTGAGAATTTTTTTTTATTGAAGTTTAATAAATAATTTAGGTATGATATCTTTGGCATCATTTCAGGCCTGCATTACAAAGTAAGATATCCAAGCTCTGAGTTTCGCACTGGAAGAAATATCCGAATGTCTCCCATTTATCCTCGTTTAAAAGCTGCTGGGGCTATGTTTAGTCAGTCTATGGGCTATGAGAGACCTTGTTATTTTCGTACAGATATGGCTGGTAAGTGAATTATCCTTTTTAATTAACCATAATGAAAAAAAAAAATCGATTTCTATATTACTTTGCATTTTTTCCCTTCCTAATTTGTATGAATCAAATTCAATGGGAAAATGAATATACATAAGCTAAGTTGAAACAATTATTATTATCAGCATACACACATGCCTAGAAAGATGGAATACATAAAACTTATCAAACTATAATCAGTATCCGTTTGTTATGTAAATTGCACAAGTTTATTCAAAAGAATGTATATGATAAGCAGCATTTTACGAAATATATGTATTTGAGTAATTTCTATGTACATGAAATGGAAAGTTTTTTCATTGAGCTTTGTCATTTTGATTTTTTATGAAAAAATACTTAGATAAACAGAGTCTGAATATTAAAACTGAAGATAAAGGTATGTAAAAGCACATTTCAAACGTGGAATAATAAAATTTAAAATTGCCTACACATTTCTTAATCTTGTTGTAGAATTGCAAAATTTCACTTACATTTTTTATATTTCTCAGAGTCAGAAGCAGAAAAATTTCAGTTTTCTTTGCACAGATGTTATCATAGTGTTTATAAATTACATTATTAAAATGCTCTATATGTGAATTATGTGCGTATATATAGAGTACAAAGTCTAGGATCAAGATTCATTTGGACTTTAGTGATTCTGGACTTGGGATCTTTTCAGATATTTAGATCATTAGTGTAAATCTAGTAAGATTATGTGTAGAAGCTTATCAAACTGTAATCAGTTTCATAAGTTTGATAAGTAAAATTAAGAATATGAAATAGTTGTGTATAAAATAATGAAGTATTTATGATCTTAAGAGAATCAAAATTTAAAAAAAAACAACTCAATATTTAGTTGCTTGCTGTATTAAATATTTCATCTAATGTAAGTTGCTTAATTTTTTTGTGCTAATATGTTCTCTTTATTTCTATAGATATACATAATTTCTTGCTTAGTTGCAAAGTTCCATTTTTCAAGTCCTGTTTTTGCTGTGTCAAGAATTCTCACTAAATTGTCATTTTGAAATTTTTGCATTCTGAACAACCTGTGTCTCATTTTCTTCACTATTGGCAGCAATATTGTCTGGATTTAGAACCATACTATAGATTTTGCGATCCATTAATTGATTGATGATTGGGGCATTGCAATCACAATGGAAACTTCTATTATATCATCGTCATTTATTATTACTTTCCACATTTAAAAAAATTTAATTCCTTAAATTTCATTAATTGGATTTTTTTTTTTTTTTTTTTTTTTCAATATCTGAAAATCTTCAAATTCACGGCTATCATCATAGAACTTGACTAGCATATTATTGCCGATGTATCATCATAAGACTGGGGACTAAAGACTCGTTGTTCTGCAAAGTTTTGTCTTGCTTCTATGCATGCTGACAAAGATGCCAGAATTATGTTAGTTTAGTTATTTATTATACTTATGCCTATTTCCAATGCATATTTAAGGCTTATAAAAGTGCTGAATAAATAAATTCACATTTGTACTTAAGGTTTATTCGGGGCAGCACTAGACATTTTGTGGCCCAATGCAGTCTCATTCATGTCCTAATTTCTGATGCCAATTGCCTCCCTAAGTTCTAAATTTTTTTGCGTTTGCTGTGCCTTCTCTAAATTATAAAGATTTACCATCCCTTAATTCTGTTGCTTGGTGCTTCTCTAGATTCTAAAAATTTTGCCTCCCCTAAATTCTTCCACCTCATGCAACTACACCAGCTCTGGTGCCAGTCCTGAACTTATCTAAACAACAAATCAGTTATTCTGTGTTCAAACAGCACAATGTATAGTCTTTTGGCTTATGAGTCAACAAAATCTGTTTTTTGCGTAAAGAAATTTCTATTAAATTTCTGCTCATAACTCAGCACTTCGCAGCTGAGTTTGCTTAAATCTATGATCATCCACAAGCATGATATCAACATAAAAGGTTATCATGTTCTTTGGCATTCAATTGATAATATTTTTAAGGAAATTATTTTTACATCGGTGCATAAGTCATTTCTCAAGCTGTGTCTGTTGATAGTCATGTGGTGATGAAAGCAAAAAATAATAAAAGATGATTCACCAGGTTTGGCATCAAGAATATAGGGTTAAAATCAATGGCTATGTCAGTGCAGAATGTTTTAGTTTGAAATGTATACCCGGCAAAAAGTTAGGTGTGGGCTAAATATTTGATGATATGCAACTAAATAGCTGTTTCTTCAATATGGAGATAATTTATTTAGTACCTAAATAAATTTAAGAATCGTGCCTCTCCACATGTTTTATTATGAAAAAATATCCAATGTGCATACATAAAGAATACAAAAAAAATAATAATAATCTGTGGGAGAAAGTTATTGATGGTCTGGAGGTTCAGATTTTAGATCATTCTGGATATTGGATGTCCAGATTTTGGATTTTGTATTTATATTAAAAATTCCATTGTATTTGCATTAAAAACCATTTAGCAATATATAAAATGTGTATTGTTTTACTTGCTTATTTTGGGTTACAAAACTCATATTCTGCTTGAAGAGTTTTGTAACCTAAAAAAATATTGAAATAACTGAAGAATTTCTTGAGTCTGTAATGGGAAGATGAAACACAGAAAAAAGCAGGTAAAATTTAACCTTGGTTTTGAATGATTAATTTTAATTAAAATTTTATATCAAGTCAAAGCAAAACTGAACTTGGAAGATCATATGATTTTAAACTGGTGAACTTCTCTGCATCACTTACAAAGATGTAAGTTGATATGTAACTAAATGTAGAAATGTGAAAAAAATTACTTTAGTAATTGCTGTTGTCAATTATATCAAAGTAGCAAGCTTCTTATTAAGCATAGAGAAAGGATGTTAGATTTAATGACTTATATTTTTTGTCATACATACTTCTTGGCATGGGTTCTGGATATATATTTACTACTTAATGTAGACATGAACGTAATGTGGGCATCTCATATAACAGACATTTAATGGCACACACGCTAACAAAACAAATAGTTTACACAAAAATAGAACTCTATTCAACACTACCACCCTGACATACAGCGGCTTGCTTTCATTACTATCCGTCTCTTCTCTTCTAATGTAAGTCGCATGAGAGAGAGGCATTGTATGCTGTTCAGCTAAACTGTGCATCCGTGGTCATCACGTCATCACACCTCCCCTCTAAAAGATATAATTATATCTTTCAATGACCTGTCAAATCCACATATAGACATTTCTTGAACCAATAATAATAATAATAACATTCATGAAGTTTTTGAACTTAATTAACCAATTCTTACTATTTTAAATTAAGGTTACTTCAACATAAATTCAATAATCTTAATCATTTAAAAGATGTAACATTCAGTTAACTTTTCAAACTTAAATCTTTAACCTAAATCTTTCACAACATTATAATCATATAAGCAGTTGTCATATATACAAAACAATACAAATCAATCATTAAAATTAAACATTATACTTCAGCAAATCCTGGCTAAATTAATGCTAGAAAAAATACAAGTTTAGCATTTTAGGTCTAAAAAATGTTCAAATTAAATAGTCAAAATGGTTCATAGTTCATATTTCATAACATTTCAAAAGTTATTGACTTTCAATCATGCTTCACTCTCTGCAAAATATAATCATGTCGTTAAGTTGCGTCATCAATATACAACTCAGCATAGTCTTTTAGTCTACACATAATGTTACCATTCCATTTTATTGACTCACAGATATTGGATGTGCATATTCACTTTCTGATTCAACAGCTAGCCCTAGCAGTCATAGCTTATCTATTTTTTGATCAGCTTCATTTCTTAGAACTTCAGGTATGGTTTCTGCCAGTCTTTTGAATATTCTTTGATGGTACGATGTATTATTCCCTTTAAAACAGCATTAAATCTTTCTACAAGGCCATTTGAACTTGGATGGTAAGGAGTTGAGAACCTTGGTGATGATCCGATCCCTTTCAAAAACTCTTGAGTCAGCGAAGCAATAAAATTAGTTCCTTGATCCAAAGTAACAATCTGGGGAATTCCAGTGCATTTGCAACAAAGCATCGCATATTTATTTGGCATTCAGATTCTTCAATGGTACCACATTAGGCCATCTTGTACATTGATCAACAGCACACAAAACATATTTATAACCTCGACAACTTGGTTCTAGAGATCCGAGAATATCCACATTAATTTCCTGGAATGGTCCGATAGAACGTGTTACTAGCGTAATCGGAATTTCATCAAATGGACGCTTTTTAGCTTGAAGTTGACAAGAAGTACAAGTATTACAGTATTTATTCACATCTTTCTTGATTTCAGGCCAATAGAAGGAATATCTTAATTGCTTGGTTGTCTTCTTGGTTCGCAGGTGACTTTCCCCATAAGCTAGAATGTGCTAAGTCCAAAATTTATTTTCCTCTTTCTTTAGGAACAACTAACTGGTGAACTCTTTCTCTTAAAATTTTATCTTTATGATATAAAACGTTGTCAATAACAATAAAGTTATTACTTCCATTCTTAGCATTTTGCCAGCATGTTTTTGAAGATGGGTCATTTGTTTGTTGAACCTTGAAAATTTCTGACTCGGAAACGCATTGATCTTGTCTCATACTACCATTTTAATCATCTTTACCTGTGTCTCCATATACAACAGTACAATATTCTGTATTATTTTCTTAACAGTTTCATTACACTTTTCATTAATTAGATTTTGCCTATCATGTTTAAATATTCTGTCAAAATTTTCAGTTTCATAAAAAGGCATTTCAATCAAACTATCATTTATAATGTTTACATTTTTGCATTCAAAATTAAACTTTCATTTATCATCTCTAATTAACTCATTAAAAGCACTTGACGACAAAAGTAAATCATTACATATAACAAATTAATCATTGCACATGTTATAAAAATCGGTGACATAAGTTTATCATATTCAGAATACATTACTAAAGGTAGGTTAATGAGAGGAGCCTTTAAAGTTTGTCTAAAAGCTGATGTGAGGATAACCGTTCCATGTGGTGTATGGTATCTTTCTGGTACAATATCAGCCTTAACAACAGTTAACTGTGTGCCTGTAACTGTGTGCATTAATTAATTTACCATCACAAAAAAGTTTAATAGTTGGTAAGTCGTCAATTAATTCCCTTGCTTCTTGACTCACACTAAAATATTTAGAAGAAATCTTTGCTGTTACAGCGGAAGAATTATTCTTAATTTCTTCTTTATTAACCTTTTTTTATCTTCGTGCAACTATATGTTATGATATTTGCAACTATATGTTTAAAATTACATTTTGAGCATTTTGATTGAGAAGGGCAATTTTTTGTTCTACAGTTCCTTTTGAAACAAAGAAAGCACTGATTAGAATTTTTCATTTCTTCCGGGAATATAACACATTTTTCCAAAACATGATTTTTGCTTTCACAAAATAAGCAAGAAAAAGTTCAAACAGCTGCAATTTTGCTTACATTATGGGAATAGCCAGCTCCAAATGTGTTAGCATTAAAGAATTACGAGTGTGGAAATTCATGTAACTCCTAGAATAAGATAAATTTAATGAAGTTCATTCGCAACTTTCAATTTACCATTTTAGAAATTTTATAAGTTCTTCAACATTAAAAGTTTCTTCATCTGCTTTCTGACGAGCAAAATCAAGGGATATATCCTGAGGAATACATTTTATTAATAAGGATAAAGTAAACTTCTGTATGATTCAGTTTTGATTCCTATCGAATTTAGCTACCTAACTTCTACTTTACGCGTGTCATATAATTTTATCAAAACATGAATATCATTTGAACTTTGAACAGGTCATAAATTTAATAGTTTATGTATGTACGAATTAATAAGTAGATCTTTTCGGCCATAATCTATCTTTAAGAATTTTAAGCACTTCATTGTCATCCTCTGGCAATAAAGAAAATCCTTCTATCATTTTTAAAGCTGCACCACCTAACAGGCTAAGCAAGTAATTAAATTTATCACCTTTATATAGCCTATCGTTTTGATTTATTGTTGTGTCAAAAGTATGGTAAAATGTCTACCACACTTTCAGCATTTCCATAAAATTTATCAATCATAACTTCTGGCAGTTTAACATTGTAATCAGAACTTTTATTAACCCCAAAAATAACAGGTAAATTTTTACTGTCATGGGAAGAACCATTATAAACTAGTGAATTATTGACATTTGCTTTTTCTTTCAATAATTTTGTGGCTCTGAAATTTCATTTTGAAATCTTTTCTTCATATTCTAAGGCACTTTCGATTTTGGTGTTAATGTCATTAATATCAGTTAAAGTTTTATTTTTTTATCTAATTGTTTACAAGAAACTTTTTATCTAATTGTTTACAAGAAACTGCTTTTACTTTTAAAATTTCTAATGTTTCTTCTAGGTCTTCAGTGTTACCAGAAGCAATTAAGGATTCAATAGAACTTGTTACTTTGGTAATGGCTGAATGAATAGCTTTCCGTTCTTTCTTTTGTTAGCTCTTCAGCCATTTTGTTATGTTTGAATTTCTTTTTACAACAAAATAAATTGAACAAAGTATTCCTTACCTTTCTGGAGACTCACTTACTCAAGCATTTACTCTTGAATTTCAAAGAATCACTTATATCATCCTTGACTGACACCACTGTCATACATACTATTTAGCTGGGGTTCTGGGTATATATTTATTGCTTAAGTAGACGTGAATGTGATGTGGGTATCTCATATAACAGACGTTTAATAGCACGCACACCTTATTGTCACACAAAAAAAACAAATAGTTTACATAAAAATAGAACTGTATTTGTCACTACCGTGCTGGCATACAGCAGGTTGCTTTCGTTACTATCTGTCTCTTCTCTTCTAATGTAAGTCCCATGATAGTAAGATGTTTGTTGCACGCTATTCTGATAAACTGTGCCTGTGTGGTCATCATGTCATCACATTTTCCTATATGTGTGATTTGTCATAATTATTTTAATATCTTTCTTGTTATCAATTTTATCAAAATCGTTATGATGGTTATAAATATTTCAGAGCGATAGAAAGCCATCAGAGAAATAAATGTATTATTCATATCCGATATCTGTATCGCCAGTGTAAGATTTACACATCCTCAACAACTGAAATATTAAATCCATCAAACATAGTAAGTAGATCACTAAAATTCTATTCCCAGTAGTGGAATGACCTGAAAGACATAAGATTTTTCTCATTTGCAACATGAATATGGGTTAGGATTCATAAGAAAACCTTTTACCAAATTTTCCTTCCTCATAAGCAGATTACCATATTTTCTTTGACATAATGAAATTATCCAATTCTTATCCTTCTTATTACTTATTTCTACCAATGTTAAATGAGTAATTTTTTTTTTTACCTGATATTGTTTTCATAATTCAAAGTATAATGCTAATGTGCCATATGATAAAAAAAAAGAGTTTAAAAAATTATTTATAGCTTTATTTTCTCAACTTTCCCCTATGAAAAATAGTCATTATCATTTCTACAGATAAAAGTCATTATTATTTTTCCATGGATAATGAACATTCACCAGGGCTAATCATTGTCAGATGAATTTTCAACATCATGTCTAGCTGTTTTTTGAAGAAGATTGCATTTTGTATATTCTTTATATTTAAGATTCTGATCCGAATGAAACTGAAGTGGAGGTTAATCCAACAACATTTTATAAGCCACCATGGTTTGATTATTTGGAATCGGAGTATATGGCCTGTCGCAGAAAGGTGGCTCTTTTGGATTATTCTTCCTTTACAAAACTTGAAGTCTGGGTGAGCGTTTAATTTTGTTCGTTTGTATTTAGTAATCCATCATTTCTGATAATAATGTAACATAGTAAAAATAAAGCCTGACTTGATCACAGTCTGACCATTATATGTATATTATACAATAGGTTAGTGCCTAGTTTTAGAATTCTGCATGGCTGTAGACCGAATTTTATGATGATTTACACATATTCAAAAACCTTTTTCTTTTTGCATCTCCAATAACAGAAAGTTTGATCTTACCAAAATGTTTAATATCCTATATATATCATGAGTAGAAAATTCAGGTAATTAATATTCTTTTTCATGGTATTCATGGTAACTCCAGGTGATTAATATTTTTTAGTAATGGAATGCAAATCAGTCTTTTCATAGCTAATTAATTAACTTAGAGAGAAAGAAGTGTAATTAAATTAATATAATTTTTTTTATTCTTTTGAGAGTGCAGTGTTTTTCTCATTAAATTATCAAGAAATACTCTCATTTCGATCTCTATCTATTCATTAGTATAAAAAATGGGTTCTTGTATATTAGCTAATGCTTACCAATATATCCCAAAAAATATCACCCCTGATTATGATCCCCGATTCTTCTGAATGTTCAGCAACCCTAGAAGCTCTTCCAGATACTTCTAAAAAAGGTACAATTTTTATCACGTTTTATCTTACATTGTTAATGTTCTTGATACTTATTGTAGCAGGTCACTCCTTCTTAGCTATCATGTTTTGATAGCAAACTCTGTATGTGCAAAACTGACATTTTGGTAATCTTTATCCATTGTCACATCTAATATTCTTTCCAACAATCCATAAACATTATTGAGTTGTTGGTCTTTTTTTTTTTTTTTTTTTTTAGGTCCATTCACGTTTTTATAGTTCTGTTTTAAACTATTAAAAAAATACTTGCTTGTTCTGTGACAAATGACAAACTTTCCAGGATGATTTTTCTCCTTTGTGCAGTCACATGCAATAGTAAAAATGAAAGTTTTATGAACCCCCCTTTTTTTAACAATTATGTCTTTTGTTAGTTTCTATGCTATTCTTTTAAAGTAAATTCAAGTTTTCTGAATTACTTTGTTGTTTATGTATTCACAAGGATTTTTTTTTTATCCTACGCTCGTCTTGGACATTTCTGCCATTAGTCAACAAGTAGCCCAGTAAAATTATAAGAGTGCAATAAAAATTAGCCTGCATAGATTTGTCTGTAATAAACTTCAAAATAATAGGCATTTCAGGTGATCACCATCCATATCACCCTGATGACACAGAAGGCAACAAGCTGAATCATTGACTCTGGTCCAATGTAAATGTTGCTGTAAATAACCATGACCAGTTGTCAAACAAAAGCAAGCAACTCAACAGCCCATGCTAAGGAAGTGGGGTATCTTATTTTATTTATTTATTTACTAGCGACCCGCTCTGGCTTCGCACGGGTATAAAATATTAATGGATATTTTAACAATGAATTGCAGTTCATAATCTTTTTCTGAACTTACATACCTCACCTTAAATTATGATTTTTGAAAATAATTTCCCTAATATTAAATTGATTTAACTCTAAATTTTAACCAAGATCTTAATAGAAAATTCCAATTCATAAATTATGGCTTTATTTAATCTAATCTTATCTAACCTTATGTACTTATAATTACTATAAGTGCGATTTAAAAATTATCTACCTTAGAATAGAATATCATTTATATTTTAAAACTACTATCATACAATTATTTATCGTAACTTACTTATAATTACTGATACGTTGTCGTTGTCTGAAAGCTAGAGAGCTTCCGATAATAAAAACGCGTCCGATCGCTGCTAAATTCAAAGTGCTATAGGGAGAACCGCGGCCTCCGACGCGCTATTTATAGGCACGCCCCGGCCGGCCGGTACCGCCGCAAACGCTACGTCCCGCAATTTTTAAATCTGTAGACCTTTTCAATGTGTACAATACTTAGTACATTATTTTGATAAATCTCGTAGGGTTCAGCCTGCGTTTGCAATGTAAGCGGAAAAAAAATGTAATTATTTACGACATCACATTAGAAACCTCAAAAATAACAGTATTTCTCCACTATTTAATGGATGTTATTATACATATAAACCTTCCTCTTCAATCACTCTATCTATTAAAAAAAACCGCATCAAAATCCGTTGCGTAGTTTTAAAGATTTAAGCATACATAGGGATATAGAGACAGAGAAAGTGACTTTGTGTAGTTTTATACTATGTAGTGATTTATCTTTTTTTTTTCAGGGGGGGGGCAGAATATTGCATTTCTTAATGATTGCTGCATCACTCCATAATCCATTTTGCTATTTTCATTTTATTATATATAATTCTTTTAAATTATGCAAAGGTAAAGGGAATCAGTTTGGGCCATAAGGGATCTGGCCTCAACAAGTCTATTTGCCTGCTCATTTTTAAAAATATCACAATGGCTCGGAATCCACTGAAGAACAATTAGCCTTGTGTTTTTCTTTAGCTCAAAAAGTTTCATTTTAGAAGAATGAAACCTGGGTATTATCATTATAGTTAGAACTAGTAAATGACAAAATAGCAGTTTGTAAATCAATGCAAAACACAATATTTTGATCTGGGGTATTTTTTAATTTATCAATTGCATATGCTAAATCTGCTATCTCTCCATCAAAATTGTCACAGTACTTTCCAACAGGACAACTAATATTAAAATTACTTGAATAGACTCCAGCACCAGCATTTTATCGCATTTTCTGCTGAACTATTAGTGTAAGCATGGAACCATTAATCTGGAGGGTATCTGTAATGTATAGTAGCCAGACCAGCATTTTTTAACTCATTCAGAGTGGAATGGTATTTGTTGACATTCCAACTAGATCCAGGTGTTTTTTCAGCTTATTTAATTTAAAACAGGATTCCACTCCTGTGGGAAAACCTGACAATTTGGTGTAGGAATATCGCAAGTATCACGAAGATCATATGTATTCAAAAAGGAAGGCTGTATGAGTCTTTAGTCTTTCACTTGCTGGTCACTAAAAAAACTGCCTTCCGGTTGTTCTACCTTGGTAATAAAAACCATGACATGACCCTCATTATCATAATACAGATCTGAATAGAACATATTGTGTTTACTTGGGCATTCATTTAAATAAGGAAATGTGACCTAGCATAACCAATAAGCACCATGTTCTCTGTCTCTCTTTCTGCTCTTTTTTTTTGGGGGGGGGTGTCAATATAAACTTTAAACCAGTTAGAACAAATGTGTATTTTCATTATATCATTTTAAGTTCTTCGCACAATGTTTTTTGACTAGTGTAAAGTTTTAGTGCATTCTTCATCTTTTTTTTACTAGATTTACAACAAAATTAAACAGAAGCAATCCTTTATTTCCAGCAAATGGTATTTTGTCAAAAATTGAGTGTTCTTCTCACGCAATGAAATGTACGTAACAGAATATGTATGGGAGAAATATAATGTCAGCAATATCTGTCAAAGTATGATAAGAACTGGTATTTGGTTTGAGAGAAGTAATTTGTCTTCTTATGTAGTGGGTTCATACATAAGAAGACAAATTACTTCTCTCAGTTCTGGGTTCATACAGAAGACATAAAAAATAAAATTCTGATGTGATTTTGATTACCAAACAAAACTTGCCAACAATAAGATTTTATCAATCTACTCATGTTGAATGATGTTGAAATGTATTTTGTCTTTAAAAGGCACTATTCAATTGTTCTCAATATATCAGTAAGTAACCAGTTAATACTCAAGGACCAAAAAGTGTTACATGCTATGTAAATATTATGGAAGGAAAAATTCACATTTGTATTTTTATTGTTCTAAAGTATTTTGAAGATATGTTTGTGTATTTTGAAATCATAATTTTTATTTCTAAAATATGGCCAAAATTTAGATATATCTGAAAGTTGTATGTATTTTTTAATTTATGTGTATATAAAAGCAGTTTTATATTTCAGAATAAGGTTTAATTTTACTGTGTGATAATCGACTGATTAAGCAAAGTGTTAATGAATATTTTTTTAGCTTTGATGTATTTTTCTAGTGATATATAAAATATTGTTCTTTATCTTAATATATGACATCATTTCAGTTATTGCATGTATTTATGTACATCAATAATGAATTATATAATTTGTGTCTAATATGTTAATTTAGTGCTACAAAGACTGAATTAACAGTCTCTTAATATACTTAAAAACATGTATCTTCTGTGTTTATAAATTTTTTGTAAAATTTCTTAGAGAACTAACATTTATCTATATTTATATAGTCTCCAGGAAGAGAAGCTTTAGATCTGCTGCAGTATTTATGTTCAAATAATGTGGATATTCCTAAAAATGCAATGGTTCACACTGGAATGCAGAATAAATATGGTGGATATGAGAATGATTGTAGCGTTGCTCGAATGGATTACAACAGGTAAATATTCTTTGTATTTCCAGTTATATTTTAATAATTCTTTTTTGTAGTGTTTTTCATTATTATTTAATAATCTTGATTCTTCCCTCAGATATGTTAAATTGATTATTATATTTAATAAATTAAATTAATCCTGAACTATTCAAAATTTTTGTAATAACATAATAACTTTTAACTGTACAATTCAAATGAGTTATTTTACCGTACTTTAAGTTGCTTGCTTGTAAAACAAGGTACTTGTTTAGAAAACAAACTGAAGACTTCAGAATTTGCTTCTCTTTAGAAATCCATTTTTATAAAGAATGATTAGATGAAATATAAAAGACTTGCAAATTCTTAATATTACTAAATATATGTGGTTATAGTAGAAACTAGATGGCAGTTATTATGTAACTGTTCTCCAGCTTGTGCTATATTATAATATTATGTGGAATTATATGCTGAGTTGCTTTATAGGATTTTTATAGTTTTATTTGTATATAGTATGGGTATCGACTAGTTTGCCTTATTAATAAATTTGTATGACTATTATTATTGAGTGTACACAGCCAGTAGCTTAAGTATCTTTACAGTGTCTTTGTTATATGCCTTAATCAGAAGGAACTGTATAGCTAATTTAACACAAAATGTTTGTTTGGTGCTTTTTCGCCAACAGAATGAATTCTGCATTCTACATTCAAATGTTATAATAATGTATAAAAATAAAAATTTATACCTACACTGTTGAACAATTATTTTTCAATAAAATTTGATAATCCTTTGCATGCTACATTTGTTAAGAAAATAAAGACAACAATTTTGGATTAATGCTAATTTAGGGAAAAAAAACATATTTTGAACATTTTTGCTTATAATGTTTTTTTTCCCTCCCCCTGTGAAAAGTACATTAAGGCAATCGTCTGACCATATGTTCTTACATTACCTCAGATTTTGGAATTTGGATATTCATAAATAAATATTAGGAAATGTATTTTGAGAAAAAATGGCATATAGTAATTAAAGTTGGAATTTCATTGCCATTGAGAGAATAGCAAAAAGTGACAAGTTTCAAATTTTTTTATCACAACTAATCCAAGGTAATTTTCTGAAAAAAAGTGAAAATATTAAATGTAACATTAATATAATAAAAATTATTCATGTAATTAAATGACTTGTGGAACATGTACAACAAATTATTTGTATTAAGAATATTTTGTAACAGTCATTGAGATTTTATTAGCCTGTATAGCTTGTAGCATTTTTCTACTTACTTTACTAATCTGCTTAATAGTTTTATCATCTGCAAATTAATATGATTATTTATATAAGCAGTAAGATCTTTCTAAGGCAACTGTCCAAATACTTTTGGCTCTCCTGTGATGATAGTCTTCTTGGTGGACTTTACTATCAGTTGTGTTCAGTGCCATTACTTAATTATATTTTCAGAAATATTGGTGAGAGATGGTCATCTTGAGAGGTTTCTGAATGTAATTTAGTTAAATTAATGTTTGTTTGAATATTGTATTTTCCAGATAAGTTTTTATGTATTACCAGTTAAACTTATTAGTGAAGGATATATTTTTCAGTTACAAAAATAATAATATTTTCATAGAAATTTAACAAAACAAATTTAATTTAATAAAGATAAAAAAATCTCCAGTTCCTTGGAGATTATTATAACTGCTACAGAAGAACATGTCTAATAGAAAAAAAGTTATTACTGGTATTGGAATGATACCAGTTGCTTTCTTGGATATTAGAAGGGTCAGCCATTCTGGCTAACACTTTCAGAACTTTGCTAAAGTAAAACCTGAATAATGCTGAAGTTATAACTGCAGAAAGAAAATGCATCTGGGAAACAGTTAAGAAAATAATTTATAATTTTCAGTATGTAGTATGGGCCAAAATATGGTTCTTACGTATGTTTAATTCGATATTTTTTTTAATAAAGTTTGTTTTGACTTGTTATTTAACCTTTAATTGCCAAACTTTGAAAAAGTCTTGAAGGGACTATTTATTTTTTTGATAAAACTTTGAAAAGAAAAACATAAACATATTTCTGGACTGCCTGTATATGGAAATCCAAGGATTATGAATGTTTTGGGTTTTAATAGTTGATTTTGATAACTTGATGAGTAATTCCATTATATTAATTATAAATACAGGGAAGCTTTGCTTTAATGATTACTCACAGTTTTTGATGATTCTGGTTATGGTAATGATCAGCTTAGATGATACTCAATACTACCTGTATTTATTTATGTTCTAAAAATATTGGTCACTTTAGGAAGTGGTCATCTGTGCAAAGTAGTTACCAAGAGAGATTTCACCATACTTTTTCAAGTCTAAATAACTGCCTGTCAGCCATTTAGGTGATTGTTAAATTGAGGTAGTTTTTACAAGAGGTTTCATAACATACTAACTTAAATATTAATGATATTCAAAATTTATTGTACATTTGTTTTTAATGTTTATTAGAAAGCTCATTGCATTTTGAAAGACAAGAACAACAATCTTTCATCTTTTAATGCAAATTAATTTTGATATATCTTAATGTTTTCTTCTATCCTGTATGCTTTACTTGTTAATCTGATCATTCTTCACAATATGTAATAATTATATTTATTATTTATTTTCTAAAAAAAAAAAGGAGAAGATTGCGCTTTTTTTTTTTTTTTTTTTTTTTCTCTTTGAAATTCATCAAGCCTATTTAATAGGTATCTCCAATCAAAAGGTGAATTTTCCTAACAATTAATATCAGATCTGACATACAAGCTTGTATATCTATTAAATATTTCAATTTAATTAAAAGAATGCTATTGTCTTTCATATAATTCATGATTTGATTCTCTTTTTCTGTATTGTTATTTTTAAAACAATCCAGGATTTCATTGCAGCAAGTTCAGTTATATATCATTTGTTTTAATACTTGATTGCTTGTTAAGTCATGCATACAGTGCTAGTAAATTAAATATCCTGTTGCTTAATTTTAATGATAAGGAATAAATACTCTTTTTGTCTTACTTGACTGTACTGAGATTTTTTTCCCATATGTTTTGACGTTGCTCAATTTTAAGTCATGCAACATCATTTGTTTTTTTCACTAAAAACAGCAGTTTAAAATAATCCCAGTCTTTCATTTACAGTTTTGAAATTTGTGAGTTATAAATTTTAATATTCAAAATTTCAAGCATGTATTAATATACAATTATTTTTCCTTTTCAAGGTTTATGATCATATCCCCAACTATCCAACAAACTAGGTGCCAAGCTTGGCTAAAGCGAAACCTGCCTCCAGACAGTCCAGTTCTTGTGACGGATATTACATCTTTGTACACTGCTATTTGTTTGATGGGACCTTTGGCTCAAAGTGTGTTGTCTGACTTGACTGATAGTTCTGTTTCTTATAAAGAGTTTCCTTTCTTCACATATAAAGTTAGTTTATGTACTATCTTTTTCATTATGTACACTGAATATAAAATTTGAGCTTTCTTGAAAAATTATGTTTACTTAATTTTGTTTTCAATGCTGATCTTACACAGAGCAACATAAAATACAGCATTTATTTTTAAATTTCGTTAGCTAATTTATAAAATACTTAAATAAGTTATGTTATATTACATTATTGTATAGCTTATAAGTATAAAAGAAGAAGCATTGCTAGTAATTTATTTTCAGGGCTTGATTGCATGTTCTTTAGCATTGCATCTTTTTTATTGACGGGTCTTGCCTAAATACTCTTGTTGAGAATCTTAGTTCTGTTCTTCTCCAGGCATCTCTAGTTTCCATACCTGTTAGGAATCATGGTAAGCACAATGTTCTTTGCTGGTCTGCTGAAATTTTTATATGAGAAAGAGGCTTAATGCCTTTAGGCGTAGATTTCAGCATTGTAAAAATATGCCTCTTAGAGAATTTTATAAAGGAAAATATCTTGAATATAGAGAAGTGTACAATCAAAAGCTTGCCGATGCTAAATTTCAGTCTTGGAAAACATTTCTTTCGACCATTGATGTTCACAATGTATGGAAAAAGATTTACATGTATGGAGTTAAAAGAGATTTCAATGAAAAAAATTGAAATAAACTGTATTTGTCTTTCCACTGGAGAAACAACCAATTCTTTAGAAGAGACAATTACTGCTGTGCTTCAGAAATCTTTTTTCCCTTTGGATCTAAAGGAAAATAATAATAATTTGCATAAGGAATACCGTGAATGTTTCCTCAATTTCTCCATAAACTTTTTATCTTTTGCCTAAATGTTGGCATTTTCCCACGTGTTTGGAAACATGCTCAAGTAATTCTTATTCCTAAAGGAAATGAGTCAAGGTTTCCTCACCTACATAACCTTAGATGTATAAGTTTACTTCAGGCTTTAGGTAAGTGCTAGGAAAAACTTTTTATTATCAGAATTTGTTGGAAACCTTCTTTCTGGTAATCAGTACGGTTTTACACCTCAAAAAAGTTCTGAAGACGCTCTTTCACATTTGAATGAAATTGTTTAGAGAGGTCAAAAGAAAAACTTGCACACTATTTTAGTTTTTTTGGATATTAAGGACGCCTTCGACTATGCGTGGTGGCTTTGTATTCCCAATCTTCTCAAAAAGGTAGAATTTCCAATGAATACTTTTTCACTTGCTGCTGACTTTTTAAATGATCGGACGGCCAAACTGCAATTAGGCACGGCTTCTGCAATCCGTCACCTTAAAAGGGGTTGCCCTCAAGGCTCATTTTCAGGACCTACATTTTGGAATATTATTATTAATGATCTCCTATCAAAACCGGAAAATCTTGCTTGTTGTGATACTATAGCCTTTGTGGATGATGTCTTGTTTTGTTGACAAGAGACTTTAAATCTCAACTCCAACTGGTCAAAAGGTTTTAAATTAGACTTTAATCCTAATAAAACCAGGGTTATGATTATTGAAAATCAAAACATCTGTTATGATGCATTTCAGTTATCTCTCGGTGGCACCCCTTTGACTGTGGTAAAGCAAATGAAATATCTTGGGGTTTTTCTTGACTGTAAATTTTCTTGGAAGCAACCCTTAATTTATGTATCAGAGAAATGTGATAAATTACAGTGTGGTTCAAGTCGTATTGCATGCAACACATGCGGTATTAATTATAACGTTCATTCACTCATCTATAAACAAGGAATTGTACCGTTCATTATGTATGGCTCTAAAGTCTGGGGTATATCGCTCAAGAAGAAGATAAATTATAGATGTTTACGATGCGTTCAAAGGCGCATACTTCTGCAAGTCATATGTGTATATCGTATTGTTAGCTATGAGTCTGTTTATGCAATTTCTGTCTTTCCTCCATTTGACATTGCCATTCTTCATTCTATTGCTTATAAGGAAAATATTTCTGCTTCTGCTGTCTCTCATTATGATGTATTTTACCTCCATGTGATCTCCCTCATCCTTCAGAAAGAAATGCTGTTCATTTTATTCAGTTAAGCAATAAAATTGTAGATGATTCGCCTGTAAATTGTTATACTGATGGCAGCAAAATTGATGGCAGAGTTGGTCTTGCATGTGTTGTCTTCAAAAATGGTCTTGAATTTGAGAGCTTTCAATTTAGAATTAGAGATGAATCTACTGTTTTTATAGCTGAACTTTTGTGCTTAAACTTCACCATCAAATGGATATTTGAATAAAATAGTGCTGTTTCAGTTTATTCCCTTTCATCCTTGGAGATCTTAAAATGTATTTCTTCTTCTAATAATATCATTTTCGAGATTCAAAAAGAACTGAAAAACCTAAAAGGTAAAAATATTTCGGTTGCATTTTCATTTGTTCATGGTTATGCAGGTGTTGTTGGGAGCTAAGACTGCGACTAAGCAGGAAATTGACACTTTTGTCAATATCCCTAATTCCTTTTATAAGAAGGTCATGTATGAGAGTATTGTGAGGACGTGGAACCATGAATTCATTAATTCTTATAAAGGGAGCTTAACTAAGAGATTTTTCCTTCTATCAAAATGAGATTGTCATGTCATCACTTTTTCACAAACTATAAATTAACCCAATTTCTTACTGCCATGGAAATTTCAAAAGCTATTTGAACAGATTTGAGCCCCGAGTCTGTCTGTTATTGTAGCCACGGTGGTGAGGAGAATGTTAAACATGTGCTTCTTCTATGTTCTAAATATGAGAGCGAAAGAAAAGTCTTGAAACTGGGACTGAAAAATTTTAATATTAACTGGCCTCCAGAATTTTACCAATTTATTTCCGAGAGAAATGCTTTTAACACTTTTTGTCAATTCATTGTAAAACTTTGTAATCATCCTTAATTTTAATTCAGTTTTTTCTTTTGTTTAATTTATATTGTGTTTCATACTTACTTCTGTAAGCCCCATGTGATACTGTGTGGTACATGGGGAAGGTATTGTGTTTCTTTAATAAAAAAAAAAGTCTCATATCAATGCTTGGGCAATTATGACAACCCTTTGTATATGAAAAGTAATTATTTCTTTATGTCTAAAATTTGACAAAGAAACAAAAGCATAAATTTATTATGCCATCATGTGGTTTAAATGAAAATTGTTTAAATTTTTTTTTTTTTTTTTTTTTTTTTTTTTTTATTCTCCTTCATTAACTTATTATGCTTTGTAATATAAACAGAGAAGCAATTTTTTCTTCTTGGGAACATCTTATGATAAGATGTTGATTTCATGATTAGTTACAATGTTTAGGTTTACTTAAGCATGAATTTAATTATAATATTCATGTTCTGTAATTTAATGGCTATTATCAAATAAAGTACAAAATGCGAATTTATTATTTTTATAATTGTAAATTTTTTATGTGTTGTCCTCAAGCATGAAAATAATTCAAGGAATACTTGTAGAAGGTTAGGGTAGGTTAATTGATTAAGGCAAAGCAATACGAGGGCTATCTGCCTATGGGGAGAAATGCCTTCGTGGAGGACTTCTTAAGGGAACCTGTCTTGTATACACGTTACACATGAGGAAAACCAACCATGCAGCCAGCCCGTTTCTCAGGTTTGATCCCATGTTGAACTATAGTTTACAGTGATGTTACCACTCAGTCACTGGTGGGCTTGAAGACCTGTAGAAACGTTGATGATAAGTAGTCTTGGAACACTGGAATTCTGACATTGATCTTTTTAAGTAAGAATCACAGCTCTATTTATAAGTCATCTGAAAAGAGTAATATAATTAATTATGCTTCAGGCAGAGTTAGTTAATATCAGTTCTATCTATCTTATACCTGTTTGCTTAGTCTCAAAAAATGTATTTATTAATGCTCCTTTTGTAGAAATAATGTATTTTAACATTTATTGATAATAAAATAATGTGTTACATTTTGCATTTTTGTGTGATAGGAACTGAACGTAGGACTGGCCAATAAAATTAAAACATTTCATCAAACACATACTGGAGAGCTTGGATATGTTTTATATATTCCGAATGAAGTAAGTTTAAAGACCTCTGTTATCCTACTCATGATTTTTCATTGATTTTGAAATTTGCTTTAAATACTATTTTATTTATTACATGCAAATTTGAAAATAATTGTTAATTATTACTTTTCCATCTAAAGTTTGAATTTTATTACCTGCAAATAAATTCTGTGGTACTTTATGTTTAATTTATTAACTAATATTACATTTACACATGTAAAAAAAATTCTTTTGATGTATTGTTAAATTAATGCTATTGTTTTATATATATCTAAGTTGTAATTAATTAATTATTTTTAGGTGATAAATGCTGTTCTGAAAAATTTATCATTACAGTATAGTAAAAATAATTTTACTTTTTTTTCTTCTAAACTTTCTTTATTGATTAGGTTATGTTTAGTTTAAGCTATTTGAATATACCAAAGCGCATAAGAGCAAATAGGGACTATCTGCCTATTTTCGCTATTGAAAAGTTTTGTCAAAAATAGCAAAAATGCTAAAGAATGCTGATGGCTTTAAAATCTCAAGTGGCAAAAATTTTAAATTAATTTTTCTATTAAGTAATAAAAAAGGAAAGCCGTGCTATAAAAATTAATTTAATAATTCATAGTTTGCTATAATATATAAAATAATTAAAATTAAAACCTTGAACAGAACTACAAACATTTCAGTTTAATTTTAGGCTTAATTTGAATTTGTTTTACCAAAACGGTTACACATTTATATGACATATCATGACAGTCTCCTTCAAAATACAATTTTCTATGAAGCAGCATCAATTTAAGGTTGAATTTTTTATAAATTTCAAATATTTTATTTAAAGTAATTTTCTGGTATCAGACATTGCATCTTATTTGCTAAAATGTCATAATCTTATTCTATTTCCAATTTAGGCTTTAATTCATACTTCTTAGCATACTGAAAGTTCTATCATTACACTGTGAAGAAAGTTTTTAAAATTTTTCTCATTTTTAATTTGGAGTAAAAATAATGGCACTTTTCTGTTATTCGGATCAGATTCAGAAATGTATGTATGTATGCATGCATGTATATGCATATGTCTATACAGCCACATACAAACATATATACATGCATATGTATGCATATATACATGCATATGTACATACATTTTGGAATCCAATCCCGATAACAGAAAAGTACCAAAATAATTTTATGTACGTTGAATCCATATTTTTTAGGCATTAGTGTCTTAAGATAGTTAGTTACCTGATACATATGTGAAGTATGTTTTTAATTCGTGCAACATCAGAAGTTTTGTTTATTCTGTTAAAATAATGGTAGCAATATTTTGAGTATTAATACTGCTTGATGAATGATATATTTTTGCAAAATACATCATGTAAGATACAGTTATAAGCAAGTCATCTTTCTTGGTTTAATTTTGTGAATTGTCTTTCAGTATGCTCTCCACGTTTATGACGAATTGATGGATAAAGGACAGAAATACGGCATCCAGCATGCTGGATACTTTGCACCTAAGGCTCTCAGAGTTGAAAAGTTTTTTGCTTTCTGGGGTCAGGATCTTGATACAACCACAACTCCTTTTGAATGTGGTAGAGTGTACAGAGTTAATTTTGAAGTAAGTGTATTTTTTCCTTTAACTGCCAAAAAGAGATTGTGAAATTTTTAATTTTTTGAGATTGTATATAAAGAATTATGTTAAGTATATATAATTCTTATTATATGTTTAAATATATGTTTAAATATTAATATATGCTAACAATAATATATGTTTTTCCTTTGCTACTTTTGAGGAAATGTTTTCATGAAAGCACTCTTTAGTCTTTATCTTATATTTAACTTTTAAGATTTTAAATTGATTATTTATAAATACTTTCAGTAACATGTAGTTGCTGATTATCTGCACTCTCGCCAAAAATCAGCTACTCATTGGCGGAAGTTTAGGCATGGTTAGATAGTTAGCTGAAAGCTGTAAATTCATCTTTTTTAGTCAAGTTAGCTCTATAGGCCCACTAATTATAATTTTTGTAGTTTCCCCTTAAATAGGCATAATACATAAAGAGACTTTCCCATATAACAGAAGGTTATTTTGCTATACCAAATTACTTAATCTTCTGTAAAATCTGAAGTAGTTGCTATACCAAAAGCATGCATTACAAAGCACTTCTGCTTAAATTATTTAATCTGTCTAAACATCTTAAATGCTGTTTTAAAAGCTTGTTTAATTCCAACCTCACATGATGTTTAAATTTGTCCACTTAGTACTTTCACCATTTATATTATGAAAGTGTATGTAAGAGCTGCATAATTTTATTATTATTATTATTATTTTCGTGTTATCTGCTCAGCCTTTCTGCAAAGTTGCCAATCTTTGGCAACTATTTTTTGCCAATGATCATCGAGAAGCAGTATCTGAACCCTTTGGAGATGAAAGGCATGTAAGGACGCGCCATTTGAAACATGCTGTTCTCTGCAATGAGACACTCTTAAGGCAGAGTTTATGCTAATATTGGAAATAATCCCTACGGCATTGAAGATTTTTTCTTCCATAACAACTGAACACATTTTTCATGGCCTGCTTCACTAGTCCTGTTACTTCTTAATGACCCAGACAAATATCGATGCACATGTGCAAACACACTGTGATGCGACTGATGTCTGTTTGGGAAGCGTTCTCAATAAATTCATTCAATAGCTTATCCATTCCTCTCAGCTATTCCATAGACTAACCAAATCTTCTTAGGCTGGCTACTGTTCAAATGAGGAAATCCTCACTTTCTCCTCCACCTAGTCGTGTACAATGACATCTCCAGTCATGAGCTGCTATGCAATTCTCAATCCTTATGATGTGCCCTACTTCACTAAAAGTTTATCACTACTTAATTAAAAAATTTATTATCTTTCCCAGAAAGGAGATTTCATGGGAAAAGATGCTTTACTGAAACAGAAAGCAGAAGGTATCAAGAAACGTTATATTCAACTTGTCCTGGAGGACCATGATACAGATGAAGATATTTGGCCATGGGGATCAGAACCTATATATGTAAATGGAAAATGTGCAGGATTGACAACCACTGCTGGGTATGGATTCACCTTGAAAAAGCAGGTAATATGTACTTGCCTTTTTTTTTTTTTTTTTTTTTTTTTTTTCCCAGTACGTGTTTTTTAACAGAATTGAAATTAATAGTAGTGGAAAGTTTATTGCAATATCCCTTGCAAAAGCAACATAATATTCTACACCTTAATGTCATCAATTTTCATACAAAATTTCCAAATGAAATACACTATTGCAAAAATGTAATATGAAAGATTATTTGCATTCTTCTGAATCTTGGTCAGGGCACATTTCATGTTTACTGTTGTAACATTATTCATGTTTCATACTTTAGCAAATCTAACAACCTCTACATTGTAAGATGTTTATCAATTGTTGATTCATCTTTACATATAATAAAAGAAAGGATCTGTCTGTGTGTGTGTGTCTTTTGATTGTGCTGCGCTTAAGCTAATAAACCCAGGGCTACGAAATTTAGTACATAGGGTGCATCTAGACAATGCACCTCGAAGCGATTTTTTTCTAAATTCAAATCAGATTTTTTTAATCTTTTTTGATGATATCGCATCATTTTGAATAGTTGCATTCTTTTCAAAATGTGGTTTTGGCAACAGTTTTTCATTCAGTGCTGTTTCAACAGTCAGCAATCTAGTGGACTGTTGAAAATATGGGATTAAATATTGCTTAATTTCTTTTGATTTTTGGACACGCACATTGCAATCTTCTTATTCTGACACACATGTGTCTCACAAGGCATAACAGAAAGAATTTCCTTTTCTTCCCATCTCTCTCTCTTTATTAGGTAATGGCAAAGAGGTTTGTATATTTTGAACTATGTCATCCACAAAGCACGATTTTGATTGGTTATTGCTTTCTGATGATAGTTTCATTCTTTCAGAAATGTTGTTTTGGCAACAGTTTTTCATTCATTGCTTTGGATACCGGACTGCTGAGTGTTTTCTCTTGAAAATATGAGATTTATTGCTTATTTCATTGTAATTTTTTATGTTGTAATTATATATAATTTTAATTATATAAAAAGTTTTGCCCTTCTTTTTTTTTTTTTTTTTTTTTTTTTTTTTTTTTTTTTTTTAGGAAACAAAGTTTTTAACTTTCTTTATACCATTTGACTTCTTAAGATTTTGCAACGGGAAGTTTAATTTATTTATTAGGATAATTATTATTTGTATTAAGGGATATTGCTTATTTCATTATAATAGTTTTAATATGTTATACATTTTTTTATAAAGTTGTTCTGCAGAGTAAAATTCTGTGCAGGTTTTAAATTCAATGTTTGGTGTTCCTTTTAGACATTTTTATGGTACATTTAAAGGCTGGCCACGTAGCGGCTAGTTTAGTATAAATAGCTGTCATTACCAGGAATCAGTAAACCTTTCTTATTATAATATCACAAGAATTGGTGAACTTTATTGTTCATAATTGTGATTTAATTTAAGACACATAAAATAAATTATATACTAAAAGAATTGGGTTCTATCTTATGTCCTCCTCCCTTCACGATCACAACCTTAAAAACTATAAAACCAGTAAGTTCTTGGATTCAGCTAAATATCTGAGGAAATACTCCTTTCCTAATATCGTAGGAGGAAAGGAGTATTAACTCTTTTCCTCCTATAAAGTTTCTTATATTCAAAATTGTGAACTGTGTTCTACATAGAGCAGTTCAGAAAAAACCCATAGTGTTAGTGTGTGTAAGGAAATAATGACACATATTCAGTTAAGATCTTGAGTTTTAAACATAAAATATCTTAGTTATGATGTGGATATGTAAAAATTTCTGGAAGGTTTATATGGTAATGTGAGAATGTATATTAGTCAAAATTTTACACGTTAAATAACAACCTTCTTGTGCTTGGTCTAAGACTGGTATGTAGGTATTGACCCTCTGTTTAGTATGTTAATTTAATACTGATGTTGGTTTTATTAAAAAAAAAAGTTTTTTAATAGAGCTGACATGATTCTTAATTATTAATATCTACTTACCTTTTTTGTATTTGTATAAACCCCCTAAATACTTTTGTATCATTTATCATTAAAAAATGAAACAAGTTTAGTTTGTAATTGTTTCAGAATTAATATTAGAACAATGAAAATAGCAAATTTAGCTTCTCTCCAAATGTTTGACATTCACACAGTAAAAATTTAATGTTTAGAATTATCAGTATGCATCTGCCTATCAAATGTAGGTAACTGCATATGCAACTGTTTTACACTTTGCAGGGGGAAAGAAAAAGAGCTTTAGAATATTGTTGTCAAGCATTAATATTTCTAATATTTAAATTAAAATTTCTAATTCTGTGCAATAGAAGAAGAAAACTTACAGATGTTGGCTGACAATAGCAAGACACAGTTTATTTTCTCAACACATAATTCTTTACGCATTTTATATCACACATCATTCATCATTCTAGGTACGAGATGTTCCTGATAGTTTTGTATATCTTATATCTTGAAGCAAAAAATAAAGCAGAACAAGAAGCACATGTTGCCAGTAGCAAACAAAGTGGGGGGGAAAGGGGCTGTGCAATAGTAGCAGTGGTATTTATATATAAAAATTTCATTAACCTGATTAGATAAAACAGTATGCACTGCAAGATTAAAGATGATATAACTTGGATTAGTTTTTCGGTTAGTTTTAGCATAAGAAGGGGACAGCCAAATTAAAATGAGTAATTAAAAGGAATATCGCTAAATTAAAATTATTAGTTTCTTTTCATATTTTATATCTTACGTATATTAAAATAACATTTTAGCAGGTAGCCTTGCAGGTGACTACTCCTATAAACTGGAAGTATAAGAATAATTGATACTGAGTAAGTTCAGCTAATTTTAGTTAAATGGTGTTCTGATTTAGGTATTTTCAGAGCCTGCATTGAATTATATAGTCAATACACATTTGAGAGTACTTATGTTCCTAGGATTCTTGATTTGCAGTGAGTGTTCTTTTTGGGGGAGAGAATGGGGAATTTTTTCCTATTTATGGAAGATTTATAGATGATAGATTCAAGATACTGGAACTATCTTTCTTTGCTATTATATTACTTACACATCTTACTTGTGTGATAATATAAATATATAGTGATAATATAATATAGGAAATTTATTTTAAGATCAATCAAAGTTCTCCCCCCCCCATTTAAATACATGCTCTGGTGGAGTCACTCAAATAGGAAGTTACTTATAAAACTCTAAAAATGCAGTAACAACAATAACTCTTGGATAATTTGAAATTGATTTGTTTTCATATGCTGACCATGTGATAAATTACGAGTTGTGTCATCAGGAATTATACTGCATTGCATTTTACCAAAAAAATATTTTCTTTCTCAAATTGGTCAAATATAATACTTAAAATTTAACCTTAATAGAACCATTTTTTCTTTTAAGATATATTAGTGGCAATTGCTAATGGAGTATTTTTTTATAGATTAGTTAAAGAAAAAAAATAATGAATAATTTCTCAGAATAACTAATAATAATAATGAAGTGTTTATTATATGTGAAAGGCATGACATTTATTATTATTATTATTTTTCTTAAAATCGGGAGTTTCATCCTGTTTTATTATAAATTATTATTTTATGTAATAATTTTAAGTTTTTAAAGTTTAATCACACTAAGCATATTTGTTATTTTTCAGAAGGAGATATCCTTGATACTGTTGAAAGAAACTGTATTACTTTAATTACCAAAATTTTAAAATGAAATGTAATTTAATATATTCAAAGTAAAATAGCTTCTTATAACCATTGATGTAGAGTATATTTTAATATAGTATAATATGTGTATATATATTTATATTTGCAGGTGTGCTTGGGTTTCATTCGAAATCTGGATGACAATGGTGTTCCTCAAGTAATCACAAATGACTTTATTCTAAAAAGTGATTTTGAAGTTGACATTTGTGGCAGAAGATTCCCAGCTAAAGTTAACATCCATTCACCTAACTTATCATCTGGTTTTGAGTATGTCATCGACTCCAATGGATATATTGCTACACAATTCAGTGCTTGAAATCTCAAGTTTATGTAGTAAACATTTGTAGAAAACTGTGATTTTTGTGAATATGTTTAGATTGTGTTTAATAAATTTACTGTTGCCATGTTTTTAAATATTTATCGTAAATAAAGATTTTTTGTTATTACTGATTCATTATTTAATTCATTGCTGCTGATTTGTTATGTGTGCAAAATGTGGTTTCATTTAAATTTTGTGTTTGTCCCCTTTGAAGGAAACATATGACTCACCAACTTTTGGAAACATATGACTCACCAAACATATGACCCCAAACTCTGCATAATTATAGATGACATTAAAGTAAATATGCTTGCATAAATTTAATGTTTAGCTCGGAGAAATAAAAAAGGCAACTTAGGTTAGACTTTTAAGTGATGTGTAAATTTTTGTGAATTCAACAATTGGCTGCAAACTCCAGTGATACAGTTGGTAATGAAAGCTGTTATTTCGAATTCAGCTGTTTTTTTTTTGGGGGGGGGGGGGGGGAGGGAGGATTTTAAGATAACTTTATTTTTATGCAACGAAATCTTCCACAGGTTCTAGACAATTTAAGGTCTTTTTTTATTTAAGGTCAAATACTGGTCACTTTAAGAAATGTCATTACATCAGTTTAAAAAAACTTGCTGTTTATCTCTTATTACGGAATAGTTATTTTTCGGTGACCACATGAATACAGGTTTTATATACACTTTAATCTGTTGCACTAATATAAAGGGAACAAAGCTATAGGCAATGTATTGTACAAGGAAGTACTTTAATGAGAAGGAATGAGACTATTATAAGATACAGATCTTTTAAAAAAAATTGGCCTGGAAGCAATTAAAGTGCACTTGAGACATTAAAGTGTGATAATATGTTCATGTTCCATATTTTCAGATCCTATTCAAATGCTGTGCTTTTTAAACATATATCTTATATATTTCTTTCTATTTCTAGCTATTTTAATATGAAAAACAAAATTGCTTTTCTAAAACTTCTTATGATGACCTAATATATTCTAGCTATCATTATCTAATATTTGTATGAATCCTAAAATATTCTCAGATGTATTAGTTAAAAAATAAGAAGAGCTGATGTATTTTATCTATAGATAAACTTGTAAATAAACATATTTTGCTATTTTATTTCAACTTTTTTAATGCTTTTTAAGAGTGTTGAAATAATTTTATTCATTTTATTTAATAATATTTTGTATATTATTAAATATATTATTTAATAAATAAATTATTTAATAGTATAAGTAATACTGTGTATATATATATATATAATACACTCGCAAAAAGTGCAATGAAATCATCAAATGCAGAAGTGATCAGATAATTAAGATTAAACTAAATTAATGAGAATATATCTTTTTGAAGGATTATCATAGTTAAGGCTGATGAAAAATAAATGCATTAAATGTGATTATTCATATGCACTAAAGTATATATTCAATAATCTTAACAGGAACAAAGAATTATTGTTATGAATTTTTAAAAAAACCTGAAAGTAAAAAAAAAAATTGTAACTTGAAATTCCTGAAAATTAAAATCTGAAATTAAATTCTATTTAAAAGTCAATGTGAGCATGAATCTGTACATACTTTTCTAGCTACTATTGTCTAACATGTTCGGTTGTTAATATAACCCCCTAGTGATTGCATTATTGTCTACAGTGATATCCATTATCACAAATTAAGAGAAATTAATGTAATAGATGGTTTCCATGCCATTTTGACCTAGAACTGTGTTGAGCCCTAATTAAAGAATATCAACAACTTAAGCGTGCTAAGTATATTTTAAGACCTGCTTTGAAGGTTTTGGCAGAACAAGCTGTCATCTTAATACAGTGAAGAATACTTTTTTTTTACCATAATGATTAGTTACTTTTTCTGATATTCTGTCTCTTCAAAACTTAAATCTTTTATTAATTACTCAAGCACATTTTCAGTTTCAGATGATTTTGTTTCTGGCTGCTTATGTACTGGACTAAGATTGTCCTCAAATTTCACAATGGCTGGCTGCTGCTGTGACCCATTTTGAAGTAGGGGGAGAGTATCACTGGCATTCCAAGATTTATCAGCCTTTGTTGAAACTGGTTCGATATGTTCTGCTCCCTTTTTTCGTGATGGGAGTAATAAATGTGTCCAAGTAACAGGCAATATAGTCTTTTCATCATCTTTTGTAAGTGAAGGATTACTGGATGCAACTTCTTCATTTCGGAAGCTGAATGACTGTTGTAACCCATCCAGCAGCACAGATGCAAGGTGTTTCACTTGACTGAGATGAAGAGCATCTGTTGAAATCTGGTTTTCTAATGAGTTCGACTGTGATCGCACAACAGCAGGATCTTTAGAAATGCTAGAAACACAGTTAGCTGACATAGTGAAATCAGATGGACCGGAAGATGACCTACGATGTCTCAACATGGACATCGAGCAAGATTTGGGCTTGCTGTCCAATGTTTCATTTTCCATTTGGCTGGAAGCTGTGAGTGTAGGTGAGGACGGACCAGCACTTTTAGATTTTGAGTCCATTTCCTTCATGTTGGAACTTTTCATTTCAGAAGGCTGTACTGTAACCATCATGGAAGCTGGATGGGGTATTATTGCACTTGAAGAAGCTCTGTTTATCCCTTTTTGCATCTTGTCTTTGAAACTTCGTTTTTTCATGATAGCTGTTTTACTTGGCCCTAGTGAGTTTAAATTATTATTGTTGCAAATAGTCACTTTGCTTTCACTGCTGCATTTACCAGCTTTCTTGGTGATTAGCTGACATGAACATGCACCTTGGCATTCACAAGACTGTATGTTTTCTGTATTGCCTTTAGTTTTACTAAAACTTTCGCTGGCATTTGTAGGACTAGATTTTAACTGATTTATCACATCTGAACTACCCATCATATTCATTTCGGTGTTCTCTTCTTGATATGTAGACATGCCATTCTGTGTTTGTTCCACAGGACTAGATGGGATTTCCTGAGTCTGTGAACTTGGTATAGAATTTGTATCACAGATTATATTACCCCTTATATATGGAGGAGGACTGGACTCCATTTCTTCTGGCAAGGATACTTTTAATATGAGTGGATGAGTTGACTCTTGGGGCACTACTCGATGCGAGGGTCTTGATCTTCTACCATGGCCTCTCACAGCATTTGGACTGTCATTTCTGTAAGCTCTATTCTCAACACCCCCAGTACGGTTGCGATTTGTCCGCGTGCGTCCTCTGTTGACAGTACTGTAAGGAGGAGGTGGGGGCAGATAGAGCTTGATGACATCTTCATAGGAAGGAGGTGGATCATATAAAGGCAAATCAGAATTGCTTTGATGACCAGGCGAATTTTCTGCATCTAAAATAAAAGGTATGTATGCTATTAATTGTGCATACTATAAATTTTTAACTTATGTATATATAATATATATATGTGATAATGCAAGACATGAATTAAGGATTCCTTTGCAAATATTAAATTGAAATCTTAACTAATGTGTTATATAATTAGTAGTTTAATATGATATTTCAATAATTTATTGTGGATGTTACATATCACAGACTGAAAACAATAAACACATCGAACATGTGTTATTTCGAGATGTATAAAAAATTTCACAAAAATATCTGCCATAATTCTAGATTAATGTTTATGTCGGATTCGAATTATTGAAGTGGATATACACATTCTCTACGAAGCTTAAAATTTCTCTTACAGCATTGGTTATACACTGCTCAAAACAATTAAAGGATATTGCGGTTTTAGGTGGATCTTGTGGCTGGGAAACTTATTAACTGATTGATACGTGGTCGACAAACGTAGTAGGTTATATGAGAATAAATTACACATGTTTGGCAGAAAAAAATGCATTTTATTGCACACTTATGTACAAAAGGAAAAAAAAAAAAAAACAATTTGTGCATATGAGAAAAAAAGAATAAGAAAAGGTGTTTACTTCAAAGGAAATCTTTTTCAGTAGGGTCGTGGTTTCCACGGACGGCCAGCAACGTTGAATACCTTTGAGGCATGGAGTCAATGAGGCTATAAATCACGAGTTGGGGTATTCTGTCCCACTTTTCCAGAAGAGCTCTTTCCAGTTCTTGGACAGTTTGTAGGTGTGGTTGGCGGCCAGCAACTCGTCTTCCTAGAGCGTGCCAAACGTGCTCTATTGCATTCATGTCTGGAGAACACGCTGGCCATTCCATTCGTAGATTCCTTCCTCGAAAAGGAAACCCTCCACCAGGTTAGCACGATGTGGCCTGCAGTTATCGTCCATTAAAATGAAGTCATCTCCGATTGCTGGAGCATAAGGGGCTACAATAGGTCTGAGGATCTCATCCCTATACCGGCGACCAATCAGAGGTCCATCTCGAATGATGTAGAGGTCTGTGCGCCCGTCAATGGAGATGCCACCATACATCAACACTCTTCCACCGCCAAATCTGACATTTTCGTGCAAGAACGCAGGATTATTCCTACTGCCACGGTCCCTCCAGATGAAAATACGCCTATTATCAGGATGAACAGAAAAGCGGGACTCGTCAGAAAAAAGAACATTGCTCCATTCATTTCTCCTCCAGTTCACATGCTCTGTTGCCCACTCCCTGCGGTTGGGACGATGCCTTGATGTTAGTCTAACACATACCATCGGTCGGCGAGCATACAGACTTACACCATGGAGCCGGTTTCGGACAGCCTGAGTTGAAACTGTGGTGACGGTAGCCGAGCGAAGGTGTTGTTGGAGAAGAGTAGCATTCATATTTCGGTGTCTCCGAGCCGTTAACACTAAATAACGATCTTCATTGGGCGTTGTTGCCCGTCTACGACCTTGCCCTGGTCTTCGGCCTGCACTTCCAGTTTCCAAAAAACGGTTCCAGATCCTGGAAATCACACTTTGTGACACTCCAATGGCTTGCGCTACTTCGGATTGAGTTTGGCCCCCTTCTAACCTACCAACAACTCTTCAAGCTTCTGAATCGGTTAAATGACTTCGCTGAGACATCGTACTCATCGAAACAAAGCAGTCACTGAATGCCGATCATCCTTGTCTTCATTGTCTTTTATTCAGTTGTCAAATTTTGTCTTTTGTTCAAAGTCAAATTTCATTCGCTGCCGCTGAAGCGACGTTTTTGACGTCGAACTCAAAATTAGCATACTTCACAGTTTGAAAATCAGAAAAATTTGCATTTGTGATTCTCTTCTTACATTTTCGGCAAAAAAAAAAAATTTCGCTTATATCTTTATTTTATATAAAACTTACAATATCCTTTAATTGTTTTGAGCAGTTTATTTGCAATCAGAAGTAGCAACCAGATACCGTCAGCCATATTTGGCATTTGATTGTGATTTAAAATTTCTGTATTAACACTTTCAATAATGAAGAAAATCCAATGATTTCTTTTTTCCTCCCCCTCTCACAAACGGGAAAAAAAAAGTACTTTTAAAGTCCTAATGCAGATTTTAATACCATATGCCAATTTTTACTGTTATATGTTTTCTTATTTAACATAATTTTAGTCATACTTAAATAAAATTTACTTTTTAATAAGTAGAATACAAAGAAATGGCACTGCTGTTTCCAAAGCAAACGTGCTCTATTGCATTCATGTCTGGAGAACACGCTGGCCATTCCATTCGTAGATTCCTTCCTCGAAAAGGAAACCCTCCACCAGGTTAGCACGATGTGGCCTGCAGTTATCGTCCATTAAAATGAAGTCATCTCCGATTGCTGGAGCATAAGGGGCTACAATAGGTCTGAGGATCTCATCCCTATACCGGCGATCTCATCCCTATACCGGAGTTTTAGAAAGTGGATTATTGTTTTGTGTCATAATTATTGAACTTACTGCAAAAACAAAGGATAAAATACGTATTCTGTCCTAACTTTACAGAGTTCCTGAATAGTAGATTGACATTAATAAGTCAATTCCTGAATAATTTTCCATTTCTTATCATTGTGTTTTCAATATGTAGGAGATAAATGAAATCTAAGGAAAATGACATGCTGTGTTTGAACTCACCCAAATCACCGCTGATGGTATGAAGAATCTCTCTGCTGATGCTGTCGTCATGTCTCTGACGATGGAGTTTCACCAGGATCATGACTGTAGTCAGTACGAACATACCCAGGCCTGCTAGACTGGTTACAAGGATGAGGGTGTTGGTCCCAGCTCCCGAACCGGTATCAGGTTTGGGAAAGTAGTAGTTAGGAGTAAGAGTTCGCCACCAATTAGCGTCTTCTGGAATGGCTACCAAGGTTTGCGCCTAGTGAAAAGAAATATTTAGTTTAAAATATTTCACCACAGTAGGCCCGGTACCGCAGTGGCTAGTGCATTGCGCTGCAGCAATACAGTTCCGGGGTTTGATCCCCAGGCTGGGTAAGGTTGACTCAGCCTTTTGTCCCTCGAGTGCGTCAATAAAATGAGTACCAAGTTCGCTTGGGGACTATAACACCGAGGGGGGTACAACAAGTTGGCCACTTGTCCAGTACATATGCTTATGCATCCCGGGGCCCACGGTCGGGAAAGCAGATATCAGGGCACTGCAAGTCATGGCCCTCTAGGGCTCTTGTGCCACTGAGTATAGTTTGTAGTTTATTTCACCTGAGGCTGAGGTGAACAGATTGGCTGACCTCCTCTCGAGAGGATGGTGGTAGGGGAAGAGGGGTAGGAGCTCTGACCCCTCCTCCGAGGTGCTCTTCATCGAAATTGTGGGCGGAACTGAGCTAAATCGCACTGTCACCTGTAAGATGCCCAAGGCTGTTACCAACGACAGGCGTAAACTTGCACTCCTTGCCACGAGGAATTTCGTGGACTTGGGCTGACTATAGGTCAGACAAGTGATCATTAGCAACAACAACAAATGTGGTGGACATGGAATGAGATGATATGAAAGGTATGCAAATGAGACAATATGGAAAAACGTGCCCAACAAGATCATACGAGAAAGTAAAACATAACGACAAGCTACTCAGAAGCTAGAGAAAAATATTTATTCATTTGCAATGCACCATTTTCTTTGCCATTACTTCGAATAAATCTTACAGAGCTAAATCTTTTCTCTTTCAGCTTTATTTTCATTTTCGATGGGAGGAGAAAATCACAGAGAACCTAATGTAATAAATGGGAACTAACTTGTTAACTAGATGCCAAAAACTGCTGCATCGCAAATGCATTTATGACAAACATTTATCAGCAATACTTCTCTTGTTCAATTCATCTGCTACAGTTCAATACTTTCCACAAAAGACCATGTAGCAACCTCGTAGATATTATAGAACTTCTGCCTAGAGATCCTCCAGGATGATTTTACAGACCTCTGCAAAATTCTCTAGGGTTTTGATGATCGAAGAATGTCTTCAATTGAAAAAGTCAACTAATTTCAAAATTTTAATTTCTTTTTCAACTAATTTCGAAAGTCTAACAAAAAATACTTTTGTCGAATGTTTGCTGAAGCACCTTTCAGTTTTCGCATTCACTTTTTTTAAGTTTGTGTAAATCTATATCATCGTTTTTTACGCGTCATAAAATAGTTAAACACAACAAACAAAGCGCTAAAAAAAATTTCACGGCGAAAACATTTTCCAGTATTATTTTGACATGTAGCATATAAGCAGCGCTTAACGGAGTAAATAAACAATATAAATAGTTGACGAGGTTTTTCGTATTTTCAAGAAATTTGGGTAGACATCGTACTATTGAACTATCTCTGTTAAGAATAATTCATGCACAAGCTGAGTTTAAATCATAACGCTCAAGAGAACAACATAACTGATAGCTAGACGTATTGACAACTGTTCATTGCGTGCCTTGACAATTTGCCTGCTGAAGATTATCGCAGTATTTTAATATATTATCTGTTGAAATTTTTAAATAGAAAAGAACGCAACACCGCATTAATGACATATATACTAATATATAATGACATATATGCATACTGTAAAATCTACCTTCATCATTCAAGGGCGTGCTTTTCGAGAAATTTAATATTTTTCTGCCTAAAATTAAAATTTTTCTTAAAACTACGCATAGTCCTATAATTCATTAGAAATCTTAGAAAGGGTTTAATTACTTTGGTGAAAAGACGTCTACAATTTGATAGTATTTTAATATTATGCAATTTTCCACAGATGTTGGCTTGATTTTTGTACATTTTCGTGATTTTTATGAATTTAGCTTCCAAGACGGTATGCTAATTTGTTATTAAGAGCATTTTGTAATAATTAATGCATTTTTAATTAATAATTAAGAGAATTTTAGTTAATAATGTACAGTGGTGCCTCGCATAACGAACGCAACCCATTCTAATACAGCGTTTGTTATGCGGACGCTTGTTCCCTATAGTTGTTCTGGGAATAATTGTAATCTGTGCTCCTCTGGTGCAGAAATGCCACCAGTGTTGGAAAGGCAATGAATTTACTAATTTATAAATTATTAAAACCTATAAAACATACATCATGCATGGTTGCAGTTCCATACTTTTTTTTTAATTCAGTTTAGTCTGTTTCTTTCAATCTTCCAATGGGGTCTTAGACGTGTTTGTCTTTTTTTGGTGGCTCTGATTTGAGATATATGTCTAAAGTAGTATGCTCCTGCTGGTACTGAGCTCCTGTAGTATGCTCTTTACATTGGTCCTAAAGTTATACATGGCATTGTCACTGAAGAGGTTAGCCAAACTGTTCACCTCAGCTTGAACTAGACACTGCTACTTTTTCATAACCTGAACTTCTTCAGAAAGACCTTAATGCTATAAGCTTCGACGCTTTGTGTGCTTCTCAACAAAAGATATTTCTCTTCTCTTTGGCATTCTCATCTTTTTGCTCAAGGAGGACTTACATGCCTCATATTTGCTCATATCTTTGTTTTAGGTGCAAACGCTTTTTTTTTCTCCCCCCCCCCCCCGCGGGAGAGGAGAATCACATATCTCCAAGACAGAAAGTAAAAGAACTTCGGAAAACTATTTTGTCTTTACAATTACCATTTTTCAGTTATAAATATGTCTTGATGGCACTTTCGTTTGTTCTTTCTTTAAGCATAGGGAAAATGTGATTTCATGCTTAATTACTTATTTATGATAAAGGATATTGTTTAACACAGAAAAACATTTTGTCATACCATAGCAGGAGGATTCATCCGAGCCATCTCCACAGTGGTTGAAGCCATCGCACCTGAGAGCACTTTTAATGCAACGTCCGTTCTCGCATTCGAAATCGGAGACAGCGTAGCAACCTGAAAGAATTGAAATTCATTAGACTCAGATGATTGTCATGATGTTATTTGCAACTGAAACAAGGCATTCATGTTTTCCAATATTTGCATAAAAAGTTTTAGTTTAATTAAACCAGTTGGCTGTTTAATTTCGGTTCACTATGACTTCTGCTTTCGTCACCTCCCATAATGTAAATTAATTAATGTACTTAATACTAAACCGTCAGGGTGACTTGTTAATAAATATTCTTGTGTTAAACTTCCATTCCAGTTTCTGTTTACTGTACTTAAAGCGTGCGGCGGAATAATAAGTCGTCTGGGGGATCTGTCTTCACAGTTCAAGGAGTTAGTATTTAAAGCAGGATATAACCGCCAGCATGTACTAATGCGATGTTAAAAGTAATAAATTAGATTAAAAAGACTTCGTAAATTACACCTTTTTTTTTTTTAATGTTAAAAACCTTAAAAAAAATCACCTTGTTTTAAATGTTAAAAGCTATAAGAATATTCTTTCTCACATCTCATATGCAACTAAAAATAAAACCGCAAGGTTACTAATGGTAACATATTTTAAATCACTACACAAAGAAGTTAAATGAATGTGATCAATCTGCTATATGTATGGGTTTTTTCTTTTTTTGCTATTATTCTTCAAAATTCTGCAAATGCCCTAAATATGTTCCTTGTATGGCGATTTATTTTTAGTCACCTATGACCAAATAGTGTAATGCGTAAAGCAAAATTACTTTCAGTATTCTAGTACGTTTGAATAAATAATTTTGTAATAATTCATTTTATACTTTTTAATCCACAGATGGAAAATAAATAGTAAATAAAGAAAAATCGTTGCCTCTGAGCGTAGGAACATTTTGATGATTTATAATCAGCACAGAAATGAAGCACCTGATGTCACCTTTTTTCAAGGTTCTCCCATTTCTGACAGTGGAAGATCATATTCATCTCATTCAAATTTCTCTTTAAGGTTTTTGATTTGAAAGCTTGTCATTCCGAGTAACCCCCACAATCTCTGCTAGAAGTCCATCAACAGATTTGTGGCAAGTCGGCAAAAATTCGTAGATTTGTAGAACTATTAGGCTCTCTGCCCTAATCGGAATTCGAAGTACCTATTATCCAATTGCTAACCGGGCGTGCTATCAGTTACACCGCGACGACATGCAAGGAGAAGGTGATCCAAAGGGCGACTTGGGAGTTCACTCCTTTTTTCAGAACGAGACTCAGTCGATAAAATCGAAGTGGTGGCGAAATATCATCTATCACATTCTAACCAAGCGCCATTGCAGAGTTATTAGGTGCCCTCCTTCTTCGCAGCAGGAAACAAAAAATCATCCATGTCTTCACCGGAATTCAAGCTACCGCATGTTTCGATTGTTAGTCATGGTGCTATCAGTTACACCACGTGACCATGCAAGAGGGCAAAGCTTCAATATCCTACAAATTGTGTTAAGAGATTTCCAATAGGCATCATTTGGAAGACTGGCAGTATATTGGTAGCTCTTTCGGGTTTTCATTCATAGTGAATGGGATATACTTAGGGTTTTCGTGGTTTTTCTCATGTTTTACGTCAATATGATTCAGTTTCGCCTAGTTGGCGCTCCACGAAGGCATCACTCCTAAGATAGCTACTTCATAGCATACTTCACGAAATTAACCAACCGACTTCAGAAGCTTTAGATTTAGGAATGAACGTGCATTATTTATTTATTTAAAAGTATTATTTAGCAAAAAATAGGTGTTAATCCATAATTAAATCATCTGGCGAATCTTTCATGTCCTTCTTTTATACTTACTTAAGTTCATGATATTTATTGCTGGATCACCAGATAAGCAGATTCTGTTTTTGTTTCCGAAAATTGTTTGTAATAACTTCAATAATAATTCAGATAACAAGCTATATCTTTTTATATATTTATTTGAATTGAATGAATAAGTACTTATTCTGTACCTGACGTTAAAAGAAGAAATTTGTTGAAATTGGGGAGGTGCAATAGGGATATCCATTGTAATTGGAAAATTAGAAGCAAACTTTTGTAGAATATAAATACTATGTTTAAAATTGTCGATGACTTCAGCTCATTTCACCTTTCATTCGTGCAGCCGAATCTTTGCTTCTCACTTTCTGTAAGAAATGAAACTCTTCAAATGAATTTTAAATCGCAGAATTTAAAATTTTTATCCAAATTCTCAATTTAAGTGATGGGAAAAAGAGATAATTTACAAAGGCAAGAAGTTACAAATGAGTTCAGATGGCGCTCTGGTCGATGAAATTAGAAGTAACAACTAGGAAAAAGGTAATTAATGAGATTAGCTGACTACTGCCGTGAACGGAAACACTCTTTTGAAACTAACTGGCACTTAATTAAATGTAATTACCGTAAATAAAAGTATTTAGTAATTAAATTTCTCCCCCCCTCCAATTCTTTCTGTGTATACTGAAGAAACTGTTCTATACTAATTTCAGTTCATGATTAAACATTGCAGCTTACCTGCAAATGTTGTGATCTGAAATCGAATGAGAAGAGTTGAAATATCACAGTAAGGAAATATATTTCCTTCAAATTCATTCAAGTATCCTTACTGTCACAATGAGGTTAAATTATATAAATTTCATTTTTGTAGGTAATAAAATCTTAATTTTACCAAGCATGTTAAATATCTTTTAATGAATGCTGACTTTTATATATGTTAACTAACCAACTTTTATAAAGTTTGCTAAGCGGTATGTTATGCTTTCAGTGAACTAAAGAACCTCTGTTTAGATAGATTTGTAAAACTGAATAGAATGCCATTTAACCTTTGAGGATAAGAGTCCGGGTGTAGCTAAGAAGTTGGAAGATGTTCCAAGCTTGGACGAACTGTAGCTTAATGGCATATCACTTTGGAGTGAAGAGAATAAGCTTGATAAATATGCCATAGATGCTTTTTATCTTATTTAGATCTTATTAGTTAGGAGAAAATTGGGATATTACGGGATTTCCTGAGGATTTAGTAAGTAGGACTTTAAATCCTAATAACATCCCATATGCTGGGACCTATATAGGATGTTCTGAGGATATGATGGGATATGTTTAGGAGGCTAGTGGGATATCCCGGAATGTCCGGTGTAGAAAAGTTTATTCTCCGTTTCGGGGGTGAAGTGGTGGACCTACGTTTCATCCCCTGTTATGATTTGCCTTAGAAATTCGTTGCCCTCTGCAGAATATCGTTGCAAAAATGTCAGAGAGGATTCGAAACGTTGTTCCTTGTGATCATCGATGAGAAGACGTGGAACCCATCTTTGACACAGTTTACGAAATCCAAGGTCTTCGTGAATAATGGAGAACACACTGACATACGAAATGTTCAGCATGCTGAAAATTTCCCGCAGTTTTATGCGCCAATTCCCTCTAATGATCGCTTCCACGCGGTCAACATTGCAAAGTTACTAGACGTTGCTGACCTCCCTTCGAGATATTCCTCCGTGATATCCGTGCGTCCGGCTTCAAATTCTTGACAACACTTTCCAATACCTTGCCGAGAAATTGTGCTCTCACCATATACAGCATTGGTTTCACGATGAATGTCCGTGCAATTCATCCGTTTGGCCCGCTGGAATCTGATTGTTGCACGCACCTCCAATTTGGAACATCCAGTTGACGCGCTATTGATTTTAACCCACTATCCACACACAACAAAATAGGAAACAGCACTAACCTTTCTATCAGACGTCTGAGCAGAAAATGTCCCTTTCTCCGCATTGCCCAAGATTACGACACACAGCGCACTCTTGCGGCGAGTTACTTCAACTTAGTTTTTGATCTACCCTCGTATTTAGAATCAATTCTTAGTTTTTAATTTCATGTTGTTCTTACCTTCATATCGAAAGGTGGTGTAGATGATGGCCAAGTGAGACTTGTTCGTAAAATAACCTATCAGACGTATGTAGAAGCCACTAGTGGCGGGCACGATGAATTCTTGCCCTCGTGGCATCTTATGGTGCTGGTAGGTTGTCACCGACTCTAGAAGTGGGGCATCGGAATGCTGACCTTGTCGGATGCTCAAGATCGATTTCGGTCCTAAAAGTGAAAGAATATTTAAGCTTTGCGAAAACTTCATTTCTTTTACAGTTTTTCATGACTTAAAAATATTCGATCGTTTTGATAAAACACAACACATATGCAGAGTTCAATAAAATATTGTGCTTATTGTACAATCGTATGCTTTATATGAAAAAAGGAATCAAGAATTATTACATACTTTTCAAATAAAATTAAACTTCAGGGTTCTTTAAAGCAGTAACAGTTCAGTGTATAGAAAAGAAACGGAGTGAAATATTGCGGAAAACTGGAAGGAGGGAGAGAAAATTTCTCAGGTATCTGCCTTACCCATTTCTTCGAACTGAGCCACACGGATGGAGACCTGTGTATCTGGAATGTGTGAATTTCTGGGTCGTATCAGCCAGATGCAGTCGAAGGCCCGCAAAGTATTGCTAGGCACCATGTTCATCATGGTGATGGCACCTCCGGAATCCTCCACGAAGCCACCGCAATCTAAAATGCACGCAGAACTTTAGTTATAAGTAACCTGAAAATAGTATCTAACATTAAAAAATAGCTACTATAAAACGCTTTTAAAGCAAATGAAACCTGTATCATTGTATATTGCTTCTGAATGTTTATCCATCTTATTTTGCTTTTCACGCAATGGCATTGAATATCATTGTTGCATACTATTTAATATCAACTATGTGCCACATCGTATGCTTCCAACACTTTGCTGTTACCTATACATCCTGATGTATCATTACCCTTTGGCACTAATCATGTCCTGTCAGGATATTTTCTCTCTGTCTGGATATTAAACTGAAAAACGCATTACGTGGTTTGGCTATTAGCTCACCAGTGCTAAAGATGTTAAAAAGGGCTTTTATCAATACTGAAGTAATGCATGTTTGCTAAATAACCAGAAACATTGAAATTAGCCAAAATCGCAACCTAGATTGGAGCAGAACTAGAATACAAATGTATCGATTTTAAGCAGCTCCTCTAAAAGTCTGATAATGTGGGAGGAGCAACAACATAAATCAATGGGCAGAGCAAAGAGAAAAAAAAAAAACAAAAAAAAAACAGAGCGCCGACAAGAAAAATAGTAATCTCAAGTGAAAGAGCTACGATATTAGAATAGCTAAGATATTAGAACTGCGAAAAACTGGATTGAAATTAATATTATCAGCTCAGAGAAAGCAAATTTCGCGAATTTCAAAAGCTTCAATCAGTTCGCCAAGTGAAGCATTGTGGATAATGTTGGTTACTTAACCACAAAGCCAAATTTGTGGTTAATTAACCAACTGGTGATTATCTGTCAAATACCTGTTTATTTCTCTTTTCCGAACTTTAGATGCAGGTTTCGTAAATACAAGAAATTTAATGCTCTTTTTAGTTTGGTGGATTTATGTCAAACCATATTGACAAGAAATTCTTCAAGAATCAAAACTACAGATGTGATGTTTAAAAACCAAACAACGAATTTTACTAATGTGTGAAAAGCGCGAAAGTGTCATCAACATATCGAATCCAGAAGGCAAAGGGTAGTTTTTAACAGAAATTCCATGAAAATATAAACAGATATCGTACTGAGGTGATTACCGTAGCTTTATTCTGACAACAGAAACTGTTTTGGAAAAGAACTGAGTCTCGTTACTACCGCAATTTTGAATAGCTTCTGCTGTTGTTACTGTTGTTCCTTATGCATGAAGCTTTAGCACAGGAAATGACACCAAATCCATTAATTCATTCATCTTCAAGATCCGTACATCTACAAGAAGTCCAAAACATAAACACTAGCGAAGATATTTCCGAGAAGGAAATATGCCAGGATGGATGGCACAGGGCTTCCGAAGGTATTCCACGCAGAAATTTGCCAGAAAGGCCAATCAGGTCTTCCCAATGAGATTCGTATTCATGATTATCCGGCTAGTTTACGATGATTATATTCCATTGCGCTAGTTGTCCAATAAATGATCTATTGCAAAGCTAGTTCTTCAGCTTTAGTCGATTTTGGAAGCCCGTGTATAACTGCTGCTTTGCTTTTACGACATTTTTTCCTTCTCCTCTTCTTTCTTTTATAGATCTTCGTGTAATTTTACTGTTAGTTTAGAAAATATGTTTAAATTTTATTGTAGCAATAGTTAGTTAAATCAGTAATAGACTAGATAATCAGAATGTTATTGAAATCTAGAATTGAAGACGCAGTCTGAAACTCCGTTCGGCTGCCGTTAAAAGTTTTCTAAGCAATGATTCTAGCGATAAAATTAGCTAAAATGATATTAACATGCAGCAAACGTTTATGGAATTGAATACGATGATTTCTCATCTCTCCCACTGATTTTCCTTTAGTGCCGGGCCTGTATTTCATTTGTAAACGCCAAAAAATTCGGTTATAATGATGTATTTATAGATTATTATAGATCCTGAAAAAAGTATTCAAAATAGTTTAAAGATATTCCAGAAGTGAAAAACAGGAACTAACGTCGAATCTTTAATCCAAAAAATATTCGAGAGGAAAAAGCTCCTTATTACATCCTGGATGAAATGCTGGACTATGCTTCAAATCTGATCATGCAAAAAAAGTGGTGTTTAAAAGGGAAGAAAAATATATATATAAGTTAAAAATTTTTAAATAAGAAGGTAAAATGTATTCTAGTGTGCACCGCACTAGTTTTGAGGGCAGTGGGGTGTAACACTTAAGTGATCAATATCAATGTTCCCAATTGACGGAACTATTCGGTTGAAAAGATTCGTACTTACCAGTTGAAGGACGGTTCACCCAGTATTTTTCTGGATCTGAAAAGAAAGGAAGAAAAACGTAATTCAATAAATAAGAGGGAAAAAATTAGCTTGCTGTCAAATTGCATACTTAATAGCTGGTAAGTTGTAACGCATTATTCTACATCCAAAATAATCAAGAGCATTATAATCGGAGAAAAAAGATATAAATTTACTTACAGCTGACAAAAGTGTACTTGGCCTGGAAGCCCGTGCTCGGGTATTCGTCATTGGCCTGAAACTTGACCGTCAGCGTGGGACCAGAAGAGATGATGGCTGGAGGCCTGAACGTGTTACCATTATAGACGTCGATACGAGTGCCGTTACTGTCGAAAATCTAGAGGTAAAGAGGTACATGTATTAAGTGAATGGACATACTTCACTCTTTCTAATTTTCTCAAAAAACTACTATAGCGGACAATAAAAAATAATCTGAAAGGTTTCAAATTTTGAATTACGTCTAAAGGGGAGGTTTTTTAACATTTTGTGTGTTACATTTATTTATTAAATATCATGTTCTTTGCACTTAGACCATAAAATTAAGTTCAATAGCAATGTCGCAAAATAATTTTAAAATGAACCTATCTTTAAAATTTTCGATACACAGTTCCCCGCGATTGAGATAAAAAGGTTCCCCCCCCCCTCGTAGAGTGTTGCCATTGCTCGCTTTTAAATCGTTGAGTTTGTCACTTAAAAATTCGTTAAAGTTTTACAAAATATGAAATCGATAATAAAACAAATTCCAAATTTCAAATTTGGTCTTCCACATGCCCATATTCGTAGGAGGATTATGTCATTCAAAATTCGATGGCTCTATGTACCGCTGTTTTATCACAACGAGAGAAATATACACACATTTATGCAGATTTTTCATTATTTAATTTCTTCAAATATAATGCAGGACTTTAACATTTGGTGACAACAGTTTGAAAAGTGATTCGCCGTTTATAGTGATTCAATGTAAAATCGAAAAACGAAAACAATAGTCCTTCAGAAGTAAAGCCCCTTTGGACTAATAATAACTTTTTTTCAAAGATTATATAGATTATATTTAATTTGTTTTAACAAATATAAACCGATTAATCTAAACCTAGACATAACGACCCTAAAAAGTAAGTACTACAGCTTGAATGTCCAAAGAGACTTTGATTGTTTATATGGGAAAAACTTTACCACAAAACTAAGAAAAGATAGAAATTTATCTTGAATAAAATATAAAAACATACAGCAAAGTTGTATTTAGAACCTTCGCAATATTGCTTTGAACATAGCAATCTTGGGTCTGCCATGAAGACATTTCTTTCCTAAGGTAGATTTTTTCATTTATGCTTTGCTGTATTCAGTTAAAGAAAAAAATCTGCCGACCAGTGAACAGAATGGCATAAGTTTCTAAACGATGGCCAATTCGCCCTTGATTCTTTTCCCTCATATGCCAAGAGTCCTCTCTATCAAAGCATCCTAGCCTCTTGGATGTTTTGCGCAGTTATTTCTATGGCTCAGTATTATGCCATAGATGGTCTGAGTATTATGACATTTACATACTCTAACCATCACATGCTACCTATAACACAGCGGGGACTCGATTTTGTAGGTCCTCATATTTCACATTTGATAGTAATGATAAAGTAGGAATTGCTTTTGAATTTTAAAAAAAAAAAAACGATTGTAGTTAAGGTTTTAGCGAAGAAAGTCCTTAAGGTCCCAAGCTTTGACTAAGTTTCGAAGAAAATGGAGAATAATGTTAACCATATAGTGGCACACTGCCACGTTATGGTTCTGATTTAGGCCCTCAGTGTTTGCGAAACTTAATGAGCTAGCAGTTCTATCATTGCAGCTGTTTAAGAGAAAACATTTTCAGAAATGCAATTAACCAAACACGTCTTTTAAAGACGAAATAAAACATTTTGTGGAATACTCGGAGATATGCACAGTAACACAGGATGATTACTTCAAATAATGATGCGATATCAAAATCAAACTATGCTATTTTTCAGTCCTCCCATTCGTCCGGTTGTGTTTGAATTCCCAAGTAAATACGCGCCGTTTTCTCTCAGAAATTCTACCACAAAGGCATCTGTCTCAAACGGCAGATAACCCTAGTGTATTTTATCTTAATCAAATATTTGCTGTGATGGCAGCTCATTTAGATATCATCGATGTCGATGACGTTTATTTGATTCAAAAATCAGCCTTTGGTTTCGCGCGAAATAAACATTCAAGGTTTTCTGCTAAAGCTATCAGAACTTTACCAGTAACTTTTAAGTCCTTTGCTGTAGTTATTATGCGTTCCCATCAGATGTAGAATTAGTTACATTTTACTGTGTCAAGTAACTCTAAATTTCACAGCATTTTCAGAACAGTAAACTAGAAAAAAGTGTCGGACTTACCTCCACATAGGACCAGAGAGAGAGCTGGAAGTCTGTAAAGATCAGCTGCACGAATCCCGACAAATCTACATTCTGAAGAATGAATTCTGCACTGTAGTCGCTGGGGTAGCCACCCGGAAAGTTGGGGGATTTGATGAAACCCGTGCTGTTGCCTTTATAGTAATCATGGCCTCCCTTGTAGATGTATATATTTTCTGCAAAACAGTAAATGAAAGGCATTTAAAATAACTTCCAGTTTGATCTTTCCGATTCTGTTACCACTTCAAAGAATTGGATAAATATCTAGTTCACAGTAAGTCACATAGCGTCGCAGTGTTTACCGGTACCAAAGATTGTAAGAAATGCAAACAAAATAGATATTTAACAAAATGGAAACAGAGGATCTCTAGTCATTAAGGATAAAATTTTCTAATTGATAGGAATTGACTTTGACAATGTAGACAGGCGCTATAAAAACAAAAACACCGTTGAAAATTAACAATTAAGGGCAACATATGGATCCTTTCCTCCAGATTTGTTGAATGGTTTGAATTTATTTTCCAATTGGCTTTCGAATATAGCAATATGACAGAAAAGTCCATTTCTTTACTTCAAACAAAAAAAATGCACTCGACAGATTGATCTTTTAAAATACTTTCTTTCAAACATAATATAAAAGAAGTAAAGCATAATGTTTACAGCTCAAAGTAATATACATAATGTGGCGCTCTCCGAAGATAACTGCTCAATCGTTCTTTTCATAGCAGTCCGCCAACGGCGGTTCAATCCAAAATCAAACTTTTAAAGGTGGGAGGAGAAAAGTTAATAGTTTTTGTGTTTTGATTTGTTACAGCGATCAATATTTGGTAAGGCTGATAAATTTTTAAAATATAATAATCATTTAATTTTGTTTCGGTATTAAGTTAATAGAACGTATATTTATTTTTAATAATTCAAGGCTATTAGAGTTTAAAAAATTTTGACGTTATTTAATTAACAATTAAATAAATGTTGGTGTTCACACTAATGAGACGCATGAGACTGTTGTTTCTTACATAGCTGTTCTATGTTTAGTTGCATGCAGGTAAGAAGCACTATAGTCATACTATTTTAAATAACTTTTATTGCTAAGCTAGAGTGGGAAGTCCGTAGATAGGATATTCGGGAATAATGTCTTTAAATGTCAGGTTTGGGAAAAAAAAAGATTGCCATGTGTAATTCCCAAACTTTGAGATTTTCAGCTATCGTGTGGTATATGCAGTTCATTTGAATTTTATTTTTGTATTAATTTTTAATTTAGTTTATCTTAATTTATTTATTTTGGAAATCTAGGAGGATTACAAGGACCACTTGTGTTTGCCTGACTGGAGATTAAGAAACGCTATTGATAGATAAAAGCTTAATACCTGTTCCTGAAATTTCTACTCGCATCAGTGATAAGTCCTAGAAATATTATCGAATGGAGCCGAATAAAAGGCTCTCTCATGTAAGAGAACTAACTTGATAAATTGAAACTTTGATAAATAAATTTCTTTGACATGATTCTTTAATGTTACAGAAAGGCATTTTAATTGCGAGAGATAGAGGAATTGAAAACAAACGACTCTCTATTTTAGTACGTAATATATGTCATTATAAACTGTTTTTTAATTTCAATAGTGTATTTATAAAAATTATCGTTTGGTTATAAATTAAATACATTTTAAATAATACTGTGGATGCTCGTTCTAACGATGGCTAAAACGATATGATATTATGAGAAACGATATAAAGAAGAATGTTACAAGGATTGGTCTCTATAGCGAAAATATAAAGTACTTTCATCCATTGTGGCATTTTTGCATCTGTCATTGTAAAGGTTATAAACCAGCAGTCGTTATAACGAGTGCCGATTGCATAAAATTGTTAAGAAGTGAGTTTACTGCTTTTAAATCTCTCATATTGCGATTCCAGAATGATTAAGTTTGAAAGATAAAATTAAAGATTTTAAGCTCTGTCAAATGGTTAACACTTTGAATATTGCATATCTGCAAGGTCGCTTCGCACATGTGTTTGGAGCAACGGCAGAACTTTTCAAAAATGCATTATCCGTATTGTAATATATCGAACTTAATGATAAAACAAATTTGGATCTGAAAACATTTTGCAACTTCAGAAACCTTGTTTTATATTCCGGCCGATATCTTAATTTCAAAATAACTAGTTCCACTCATGTTATCAGTAGGTTGGAAGTTCATCATCTTGATTCTGCTCCTAATCACAACTTCTTTATCATTTTTCGTTATTGTCAACGTCATAAGCAATTGTAAATAAATTATACTTCTTGTAAATAAATAAGCGTCTTTTACTCTTGTAATAAAAGTCATTACTTAAAAGGTTACGTCTTTCAGTATAACGCCTCTCCTAGCCTTCCAAAGAATCCTCAATTCAATTCATTTTAATTATATTACGCTTAGAACGTAATTGTAATTGTCACCGTGGCGACGCTTTGTGAAGAAGATATTAACGCACTCTTACTTTGAAGGCGCAATGAATGCTTTGCAGAATTAATTCATCAGGAAAGACGATCAAATTTGCATCCGAACGTGGCTTTGATTAAGCGTGATATATTCGCAGTTTTTAGTTCTCAGAGGACGCATACTCATTAAAACTATAAATCAAATGACATTCTTTTCTTTCTTGATGCTATTTCTCCGAGATGACCCTTAAATCTTTCTGCGCGACAGTTTTGCTTGTAAGCAGTAGACACAGCTTGCGATTCTGGCACTAGACTGAAAACTATTTTCTGATGAGCTGTAAAGAGTAATCGCATACCCTAGTTCAGTGCGTGTTCTTGGAGAGTAAGTGGTCAGCACGTTTAACTAATAATTGGAAGATCCATGCCTGGAGTCCTGGAGAGCTTATAATTGAATTTTCATGTTTCATGCTCCAAAAGCCTCATTGTTCTACAAATTTACTGCTAAGTGAGGACGAATTCGTATTGGATTGAATAGATTATAGATTGGCTTGATAAAATTTATTTATGGTTTTCCTCCGGCCGCCGAGAAATCTAATACCTTCTCAAAATTAGTGTTAGGAATATGAGGGCCAGATATGGTTACAGTTACATATAGAGATCAATAGCAGTTATTTAATTAAAATGCCAATTATATAGTTACACAGGGACTGAACCAAACTGTCACCAAAAGTCGCCAAGTGTGGCTACCTTTGGCGATTTTTCGCCAAATATAGCAATAAAAATTAATAAGCAAAGCTATCGCCAGTTTGACGATAACTTGCCAATTTAGCGAGATAGCCATTTAATTTAATGTTAAGTAAACGTGCCCCTGTATTCTTATTTTTCCGGCAGAGCTTCGTCTCTTTCAAGCATTTCATGTTACATCATACAAAAAATACTACAATTTCACATATAATTTCACTAAAATTATTACATATACACAAAATTCGTAACAGTATTTTAATTTACATCAGTTAGACAGATTATTTAAAAATATTAAATTGAAATCTTTTCATTATTGGCCAAATGAATAAGACTTGTGAACTCTGGTAGTTTCGCCAGGGTTCATATACTGGCAAATGGCTTTCCAGGAAAGTATCCTTTCCCTTAAACACAAGTAGAGTTACACAAACTCGAGTTGCTTTATCTTTTTGAATAAACCAGCAGACAAAATTAAAGTTGGTGGCAGTCAAGGACTAAATACAAATGGGTTCTTAAAATATAATCAAACCAAAAGACAAGGTAGTCACCAAGACAGCTGATCACAGGCAGGATTGATTCTCTAAGCACTGGTCACCGTGACGTACGGGTTAAGAGTCACTGGCATGAAGTAAAATAATGTTTTGTGCTACACCTATCAAATATCATGAATGACAAATGCACGGTAGCATAGTATAATGGTTCAAATATGCTAGAAAAACTGCACTAAAGACATTTCTAATGTCAACAGAGATCTACTAATCATTATCAATCCGCCTTGTAATGTTATCTTTCGTTAGGGCTTAAATTCAGCGGAATCACAGGTCCGATATGCATGCAGCTTATCAGAGAAATTGTAATTCAGGCTGGAGTCCCAAAAGGATAGAGGATAACTTTCTTTTTAACTCAATTAAAAACGCATATACAAGGCATATCTAGAAAAATATGTTTAGCTGAACGCAATCTTTTTATTTTTAAAGGAAAACCTATCAAAGTACATCCCATTATTACACATAAGCATGCATAATAATAGCCCATGGAATTTAAGAGAGGGACAGGGACTTAAGAGAGGACATTGACTTAAGAGAGGGACAGATACGCACTTCGTCACCAACCCATCTAAAATTCAGTTTTGACTGCTGGATTTTTTTTCTTTTGTTGTTGTTTTTGTTTTGTTGTTGCTGTTAACAAAAAATTTTCCTTCAGTTCCATAACCTTTGTCTTTTATAACACCTATTGCCTAAACTACACATTATCTGTTACAAAACCTTTGGTACGAGGTTTTGGATCATTCAGCTTGCAATCCCGTCTTTGCCCCATGTTATTATTATCTTCCTATAAAATTGAAGAATTTTTGCGGTGAATAAAAAATATGGGAGGAGGGCTAATTCCAATTATTCCCAAATCTCCCGATGATTATCCTTTATGCTACAGAAATCTTCTGTCACTCTTAAACCGAGTATACATGCTTTGAAGCAATTAGTCCTTATACCATTCCACTTTAGAACTTTGTTTCTATGAAATTCAGTTAATCGCTTGTACTGAATTTCAAAATGCTAATGCAACTGAATGTTAGGATTAAGATAAAGATTTCACGTTTAATGAGAGACAAATACCTAAAATTCAGTGAGAGTCGTGAAAGGATAAGAGCACTGTAGTTGATAGGGTTGATTACTTTGAAGGTAATGTAATAAATACTGACCAGTAAACTGAAACCAAGCTTTATAGAATTATTCCCGATACTTTTTGATCACGTTAATTTATATAATTGTCGAATCGGTCGCGGCTAAATGTTTATTGTCTGCAACTCGCACTTTGTATTAAACTCGTTTACCAGAGGTGAATAACTGATAGTTCAGCAAACTGGTAGTCGATTTGCGTTCGAAGGAGCTGGCTGCGTGAATATTTGCGTAGTTTTTTCTGCGTGTAATATGGATGTAAACCAGTTTTTCTCAGAGAATACTTCCAAGAAAACAACCCTTCCTTTAGGCAGGTTCGTATATTTTGTCATAATTTCGCTGAACTCCAAAATACTGGTTCATCTCCGTTTTCAAGAAAAGCGTTCTTACATTCGAAATTCAGTATTTGGACATAAGAAGGCAAAATATACTGCATTAAAATATTTTAAACGTACATTTATAGCATAATGCTCATTTATCCGAATCCAATTGGAACAAACAGAAACTATTGCGTTAGAACAGCTAAATAAACAATGATCATAACTGTAACTGTTAATTTGAATGAACTGTCAGAAAATGGGAAAGTTAGCTCAGAAAGAAACTTAAAGAATCGCAAACTTTAAATAAGATCATTTAAAAATGAATTTTCTATGCATGCTACTTTTCTACTGCTGTATTATAAATATCTAGATTTCTTATATTTATACTGCTGTATTTTAAGCATTTAGATTTGCTACTTTTATACTTCTGTATTGTAAATATCTAGGTTTGGTTTTATTTGAATATGGAAAACCGTGCGAAGGCTATCTGCCTAGGGAAAGGGATGCCTTCGTGGAGGGCTGACTCATATCCAAGGGTAAATACCTAGAGCAGCTTTAATGTTTACAAAAAATTTTCTATGTAAAATTCTTTCACGGTTACATATCTACTAACGCTTCTAAGAAAGCTAAAAGCATGTCAAAAGACTTCATTAATATGCATTTCTTTTCTTCATAAATAAAGTAGATTCAACTGATTTTTTTCTTCTGAAGAAAATGGGTTCAGTTACGGAAAGGTAGATAAAATTTTCAAATCCCTGGAATTATTTTTGTGGGATGCTTAAGATGTAGTATTCACTGCAAGGAGTGAAATAGCAAACGTACTTACTTTTCGCTGCGAAATGGAGGCTGAAGGCTTCCTTGTAGGAACCGCTGTAGAGAAAGTCCACAGACACGAGTTTTGTCTTGGATTCGTAAACGAGATCCAAAGAACCATTCTCCTTCAAACCACAAAATTCGCGGCCTGACTTGCTGTACGCAGATTCCTTGATCCACAGGAAATCACATCTGGAGAGAATGGAAAAAGCAAAAGATAAATATAAATTTTATAATTTCTCTGTTTCGTGGCAATGAATTTGTCTTCTATTTCAGTAACTTAAGTCTCATGAAAGCTGTTCCCTAACGGAGATTGCGAAAACTTAAAAATATATCAAAGAATATCCGGGACATGTATATCTGTTATATCCCTTTAACCCTCTGAACTGATTGAGTTCCTTCTCTGAACTGAGCCCCTGGATTGAAAAGGACATTGCTGAGAATTTTTCGGAAACTTACCTTGTCTCATACTTGTTGCATATCATCATGGCATGTAAGTTATAACTTATTTTGTTCTGAGCATAGGCTTTCTGCAATTCCATTTTAATATTGCACTATAAGCGTTTCTGATCTCATTGGTAACGTTCTTTGTGTGTTATGGGGTGTCCGTGGCTTGTTAGTAAAAATTCTTACTATCGTAATTGTTTTATACCATCAGACCGTGGTTAGGTCTGAGATGCTTGGATATTACGAGTTGTTAAAAAACTTTCTTGCATTTTCAACGCCGATTCCAAAGGCACCTGGTTATAACCACTTCGACTAGCTGGAAGTTACACAGCTTGCAGTAGCTTATTCATCATCTGGTTGTTGCGCAGTTTTTATAAAGATCATCAAGATTTTGCACATCGTTGCACAATATGTGGTTGGAGATGGACGAAGGTAACTTCCAACACATGACGTGATGCATATAATTGTTTGGAAGAAGTTTCGAGAAATTCTCGGCAGCTTCGGTACAGTTCCTGATCTACACCAAAATCATACCGTTCTCTACAAATCACATTACAAAAGAAAATAATGAAAGCAGCCTTATATCTAAGAGGCATACCAACACGATTAATAGAAAGCATTGGAAAATTAATATTTGAGAATTATTACCAGATATAGAAATAGACCCCATTTGGTAATGAAAGAAAATAAAGAACGGAATGTAAATAAAGGAGGGGAAAAACTAGTTTATTTTGTATTTTAATCCATTATTTCCCAACAGCATTAAGGTCTTGCCAGGAAAGAACTATTTGTACAACCTTACCGGTGCCATACACTTCTACGTTGCAGTGATGATGATGAAAAAGATGCCCATCTCAGAAAGTTCTTTGCTCATTATAAAATGTTCTGGCAAATGTAAACTTCATTTCTCACTTCGCTAGTATTAAAAGTGTATGAGAAAATATGCAAAAAACTTGTCTTATTGTACAAGTGCTTAGTGCTATGAATGCCTATGTAGAATGATTGTATGAGGTAGGCATTTCAAAATAAAACGATTTTGTTCGCCTAACTTTCTTTTTTCTTCTATTATCAAATGAGTACTATTTAGTTATGCGTAGTAATAAATGAGAGGACAAAGAGTTTTAATTTTTAAAAGCAGTTGCGGCCCATTACAAAAAAATAGAAGCCGTTTATAGATAGTCAACTCTATCTTGCAGTTTCCAATATTGCATAGCATTATGGCTAATTCAATTACTGCGTTGATGTCTGTGTTTATAATTAAAATTTAGGCATAAATCCTATAAGTGAAGTACCTGCAGGTGTTATCGTTGGAACAAGTGGGTATATCCAGCCTCTGCAAAGAGATTTCCAGATGGCAAGACGGGCAAGTGATAAGTTCGACACTACATCGCTGGGGAATTTGTGGTTGGTTCGGATCTTTGCCAAGACTGGTAGTGTTTTCCACACTTATGATACCGGATTCGCCCACATCGATGTAGTACTTTCGACCGTTCATCCATTTGCACAAATCTGAAAAGAAGGCGTTAAAATGAAATATCATTATCTGTTCCAAACACTGATACATAAATAATAAAATGGTAAACAGTTCGTATTTTACTGATTGTCTTGAAGAATTATGTTTTTGTAGTTTCATGCTATTTTTAGTTTCTAGAAAACAAGAGACTGAAATCTGAATGAGATAGCATGCACTTTCCAAACAAGCATGAATTAACATATATAGGTGAAACTTACTGTAATACACTGTTACTGTAATATTAATTTTCTTGAAACTATTCACTTTTGGAGGCGAGGGAGCATTAATTCGAAGAAAATCAAACCCTATCTTTGCCGCGAAAACCATCCAAAAGCCAGCTGAGCATGCTGACTTCTCCACCACAAAAAGACGCGACAGAAATAGATGTAATTTACTATAATTTCAGGGTTACATTTTACACGCTTATATTCTGATTTCCTTTTTAAGAAAATCTGAACCTTTCAATTATTATAATTGTTAACTGTACACTGTTATTTTTAATCTACCTTCGCAAAATCTTCATTTTAGTAAACAAATTAATATCTGTTATTAACTTTGGCGTTTCCCCTATGACGGCAAATTCCTGTCTCACTTCGGTTTTGCAAATCATACCACTTTAAGTCTTCAAGAAGTGAAACAAATGTTCCTGCAGTTTGTCAGAAACATTTCCCTTTTCTTAAAACTTGAAAATTGTAATATTGGTTATGTCCCTGTCAAAAAAGGGATAAACACGTCCCCGGAAAATCCCTCCCGCTCGGCTTTATCTCCGAATCCTTGTCCGAAGCCGAGACGAGAAAACTCCTTCTAATACCCCAGCTCTAAAACTGTGTAGTCTTGCACTCCTCGCAACTGAACTCGACGTATTCGAGCTAAGGATTTTGTTGATCTTTTCGGGGGTAAAAAGAAAATGTTAAAAGGAACGACGTCTGCTTTCGAACGTGCCGTCTTTTTCGCGGAATCCCCGTTGGCTAGAAGGCTTTTCCCTACTTTTTATAGGGAATGATGTCTTGGAAAATGAAGTGTCATCTTCACTTTGACTATAAAAATAAGGATCTTATCAAAAAACTGAAATGCGAAAGTACAAGCGTTCGAGTGCCTGTTAATTAGAATTCAAATCCTTAGATTTGCCATTTTAGATAGTAAACGCAGGTTTGACGTCAATTGCTTTTGCAGTTTTAGATGACATCTGAGGTTTTGAAAACTACGGATAATATTTTCTAAACTTTTGAAAGCTGTATTTATGGAGGAGGTATCTTTGGAGCGGACATGGCGCCCAAATCTGAGACCGGAAAAGAGTCAGCTTTCACCCTACTCCCTTTCTTATATCGGCTCTCGTCCGCTCCCTCGTTACAATCGGATGCGTCGACTCTCGTCAATATTTTCAATGTTTTTAAAATTTAAAGCGATAACATTTTTTTTTTTTTTTTTTTTTTTTTTTTTTTTTTTTTTTGTTTTTTTTTTTTGTTGTTGTTGTGCTGCTGGATATTCAGAAAGAACTAATGCATCAAAAACTAAAGAATTAGACTCTCCTAAGTATATTGTTTTTATATATAGTCATTTATATTTTCTTTCCTTTCACACTATTTCTGCTTTCTGCTTTAAAATGGCATAGGTATCGTCGTTTTTGTACTGAAAATATAATGATGAATATAGAGAATGTGATGTTATTTAAATATTGCTTGTGAAATTTTTAATGAATAATATATGTAAAATAATATTTTTAGCATGGTGGAATTATGGTAATTGAATATGAATATTTCGAGGAATATTTTTTAAATGTAACTTTGTGTGATTTTTTATTTACGCAATTTTAAATTACTAAAACATAAGTTTGTTTTTTGCGTAAAATTAATTAAATTAAAAATTTTTATAGAAAAACAAGTTCAAATAATGTTTATAGATATTAATCACTATTTGATGATCATCATAAAATATTAATGATATATCTTTGAGGCTAAAAATTACTCTTTTAATTCTTGGATTATTATTTTTTAAGCTAGAATGAATTTTGAAAGTTTTATTTTTTAATAATTTATTTAAATAATTTTCAAAAATATATATAAAGGCTATGAAGTATTTCTCCCACCTTCTTGGCGTGCCTTTGTGGTATGGTGGTCTGCACACTGGGCTGGTATTCCAGAGGTCCGCGGTTTGATTCCCGGTGAAGGCTTTGTTAACTTTTCATCTTTCCTGCTTCCAAAAATACCTAACGTCTCTACGGTGGCTCCCGAACTAAAAGGGTAGTGGATGAAGATTTCTCTCCACCCAGGATTTGGCGATTGGGTCCCCTAAAAACCCCAGTCGCCCTTTAAAAGGGGGAGTATATAAGGTATATCTCCCACTTTCTTGGCGTGGCTTCGTGGTGTGGTGGTCTGCACACTGCGCCGGTATTCCAGAGGTCCGCGGTTCGATTCCCGGCGAAGGCTTTGTTAATTTTTCATCTTTCCTGCTTCCAAAAATACCTAATGTCTTTACAAGGCTTATTATCATTTTTACATTTCTGTTGAAGAATATTAAAAAAATAATTAAAATATTCTTATTTACTATAGGACTGCTTTGATTTTGTTAGAATTTTAAATGATACTTTTACCGAAATTCAAGTCGTTTAATTTTTGTTTTATTCAATTTATTTAATACCAAATTGAATTTGAAGAGCTATTGTTTAAATTTGTTTTAAGAGCAATGTGCATAAATGCTATAAGTAATACGAAATCTGTGAATACAGTTATCATTTTAATTAATTTCATAAATTATAATACCAAAATATATTATTATAATTTATGAAATTATTAAATTGAAAAGTTTTCTGTTTCAAAATATTTAATATTTTCTTAGAACTAAAGTATGCCTTTTTATGTAAACCACGAAGAAGATAACGTATTTGCATTTTATGACTTCCATAGTGATCTATCTTCCCCTTAAAATTCTAGGATATGACTTGTAAAAAATTCTGCAAATCTATTTCGTATTTTTTGCTTAATATATTTTAGTTTCATCAAATTTTTGATAATAAGGATGAGGTATTATGAAGTAAGTATTTATATACAGGAAGAATACGAGATTGTGTGACGTAACATTAAGTGCAAAAAATAATTTTGGAGATTTTTATTATTTTATCCAGAAGTCGATTTATTATTTGCTTCAATTTTTATTTCTGGTTATTTACTAGCAGAAGATTTACCAAAAAATCCATATTATGTTTACCATCATTTTTATTATTAAAGTATTAGTTAATAATGTTATTTCACTCACAGTTTAAATTTCACGGCTCTCACTTAAATTAGCCATCCGTATATAAGTAGCATGACTAAACTATTTGTTTCGAAATTACCTCCCCACGTCAGTCATTGCTATTTAAATGCATTTATTAATTTTTCATTTTATGCTTGTTATAAACTGATAAAGCTTTAAAATTTAGTTGCAATGAGTTAAAAATAAATTTGTCAATAGCAATGCAGAAAATTTTTAGATTAATTATAAAATAGTATTCTTACTAGCATGCTTAAAACGGTAAAAAACATATACTTACATGCAATTAGCTATCTGACTGGGCTGATGAAAATAAGCAAAACAGAAAAGCTTATCGGTGAAATAGCTCTGGTCGGTCGTAAAGCTAGGGTTTCAGATAACAGCTCCATTAATTCTACCTCCAGGATTATATTACCCTACATTTATCTACATGTTACCACTGTACTGTGCGACATCAGTGATTGCTGGCCTATGAGAGATTGTGGCCAAGTAAAAAAGACCGCTAAACTAGTAGTTCGACAGAGATTCAAATCCCGTGAAGAACTGAGACTGCAAATGGGCGTTTTCTTGGTTTCTACGCGCGTAACGCGAATACGAGTTTCCTTTAGGAAGCTTTGCATGAAAACATCCCTCTTTGGGAGCAGGTAGTATCCACGTGCATTACTGTATTCGATTAAATGGGCAGGCAATCACCTCATAAGTCACCTCATAAGTGACTATGTGACAGTTACTCTTAAGTCTTGCTAACAGTAAGATATCATTAAGTTCTATCTTTGCCTTTTTTGGTTCGTGTCAGAGTAGAAACGCATGCAGATGCGGTTTAAGTTTAAAGCAGGAGTTTAACCTTAATAAGGTTATTGGAGCTTTCATCACGTCGCCGTTGTGTCTTACTGAGCATTATTTCCTCCTTGGTTGAAGTACGGCTAAAGTTAGTTGATCACTATGCCGTATAAGTGTTTTACGAGTTTAGACATCGACTCACAGATTACCATTAATGATCAGTAACTTTCATGGTCATGCCGAAAGACATCTAAGTTACAGTTTGATGATAGAGCTGGCAAAGTCATACTCCCCCATTGGTGATAAGTTCAGGGACCAACGACAAACACCCAAAGGCATGTTCGCGAGTCAGTAAACGGCAGAAATAACAATTACCATTACAATACCTTGGTATTTAACCTCACTTGGACGAAACTCAAGTTTGCAAAACTTATAAGCTGGATAAATCATATGCCGATAAGAAATAGGGCATCGCGAAGCTTAGAGCTTAATGCGTTAGGAAAATTAAATAATTGTCATAAAGGAACCGTCTTAGATGTCGGATATCATATATTGCGGACGTTATTTGACTTAATGTCAGATTTGAATAAAGTTTTCACATTTTATGATGTCTTTTTGATTACTGACAATTTTTATGTAGGTCCAATGAGTGTACGGTGAAGTGCAAGTGCTATAGCCATGTGACCTTGTTGTCAGTAGCACCATTTATGTTCTGTAATTAGAATAAATTGTTGTTGGAGAACTTGTAAGGATCTTAAGTTTTACTAACGTTTATTTTATTTTAAATCTTTACCATCACTTCTTATTTTCTACTTCCGGCCAGAATTATAAGCGTTAAGGTTTTTAGGCAAAGTTTGTCTGGCGAACGCCAAGTATTTAAGTTGTGGCTTTTTGCCAAGTGAGAGAGAGGAAGCAGTGAGTCGAAGCAGGCCGCTTACCTTAGAAGTTACGCAGTTGCTTGCCTTCCAGGCCAGAGGTTTTAATCCTCTTGATAAATTGTAAACGTATTGTAGTGTTAACAGTTCTCTGTTCTACATACGGCTTCCTGTTATTATAAGGCCAATCTTCCACGTTTATTATTTTAAAGTTAAATTAGAGTTTAGTTCTATTTTTATATTTTTACGTTAGACCCCAAGTAGCGGGTCGGTGTATTCCGAAGTACGGAAATTTTTGTAAAATAGAGAAAAATAAAGGGTTTTGTATACCCTTCTTGTGTATCCTGTCTACTTCCCACAATTAGTGAACATAGCTTTAGTAAGCTCTCTGTTCCGAGTCAGGTCCTTGCATGTTCCCGAAGAAGGTAAGAAGGAACATTGACCCTGATAAACTTGTTTGGGTTTTTTAATGGCTGTGCTTGCCGGTAAATGGCATCAGTGAAGACTGATGTCCATTGTTATTCTGCTAGTGCTGAGGCTCGATATCGAGTCCTCAGTAGCCATGGCACGACGTCTCGAAGGAACTTCCAACTCAAGTATTCAAGAAATCATGGACTTTTATAAGAGCTTTTACAAAACAAGTGTTAACAGAGATATCTGCAACTGAAAGCGCTGTTCGTTTTGTAATGCGCGCGTATTCATCTTAAGATGTTTAAATGAAGGTATGAGAGACTACAAATCACTTACCGCCATCTGGTAAGCATGAGCCGAATGCCACTGCGAGAAAGAGACAGCATAGTCTTAAACCTGCAGATGAAAAACAAAGCCATTAAGATAAAATATTATGCACAAACATGTATTTATCCTTATTCATAACACAATCACAACTTTCTGTGAGTTTAAATACTGTATGTATGTTGAAGATTAATTTTTTGTATGTACATACTCAGAAAGTTATAGGCAACAACGAATACGCTTTGCTCTTTCTACGAACTGTTATTTTAGCACATTTTCATAAAAAATACAATTGATGCGGAAATTGCTCTTTCTGTTTATTTGATGATGTGTTGTTAATTTAAACACAAAATTTCCTTCAATTTTACATTGCTTTTTGGTATAAAAATATATATATTCACAAATCATGTATAGTTCATAGTAATATACAGAGTTATTAAAAATTATCTGGCAAAAATGTAAAGAACAGGTGCAACGTATCGAAACAAGAAGCAGATTCTTTAATGCCCTGATGACGTGTGCCCTGATGCCCTGTGCCCTGATGACGCCCTGTGCCCTGATTCCTTAATGCCCTGATGCCCTGTGCCCTGATGACGCATTAACCTGGTACAGGGTGCTGCTGAGTGGTTGATGTAACCATCTGTCCACTTGGCCACGCAAGGTCATACGACAACATCAGGGCACGCCAGTTCATACCAAAAATAAGGACATCCATGAAGCCAGCCACACCCCCATAAAAATACCGCAAAAACACACACAATCTAAAAACCTAAAGAAACCGACCGGAAAAATAACAGAAAACATACAAAAAAAAAAAAAAAAAAAAAAAAAAAAAAAAAAAAAAAAAAAAAATAAAAAAAAAAAAAAAAAAAAAAAAAAAAAAAAAAAGAAAAAAAAAAAAAAAAAAAAAAAAAAAAAAAAAAAAAAAAAAAAAAAAAAAAAAAAAAAAAAAAAAAAAAAAAAAAAAAAAAAAATAAAAAAAAAAAAAAAAAAAAAAAAAAGTAAAACATATAACCAATGGGATAAACCCAATTGTAGCTCAGACGTCACAAAACGAAAGAGAAACATAAGGGAAAAAATCATAAAAACAGCCGTTTATAAGGTATTTCTTCCGCCTTCTTAGTGAGCCTTCGTGGTGTAGTGGTTCGATTCCCGGCGAAGGCGTTGCTAATTTTTCATCTTGGCTGCTTACAAAAAAACCTAATGTCTCTACAAGTTTATAATAATTAAAAGGAAAGGTCAAACACAATGCGCAAACACCAACAAAACACCACATAAAGCCGAAATACAGGAACCCCAAGTTTTCGCGATTATTAGTTAAAAAATTCCTCAGTTCTCTTGCAAAGGGCATTTTTGGCCCATCACCCACAAAATCTTTTAATAAAATTACGGTTTTTACTTGTGTGATGGGTCAGGGGAGCTGCGGAACCGTGTGACTGTCAATCCTTAGGTCACTAGTGACTAATGACCTTGAGAGTCCTCTTTAGCTTAATTTTATCTAAATAAATTCTCGTAGATTTAATTTTTGATACGTTTAATTTACAACAATTCTACTGATAATTTTCATGAACATTTGCTTATTCATGAACTTATTTTAATTAATGAAAATCGTTTCTAAAGCTATATGTTATCTATCACTTAATTTTAATATTTCTTGGGATCTGAAAGCTTCTGTTAGATATAAAACTACAGACGAGTAACAAGTAAAGCTGCGGCTATGATAATCAGCCTCAGTTGCATAATTGAAAGTCGTTCTAAATTAAGTTTTAAAATTCGTTGCTAGACGGTGTGCAATACTCTGTAGACAGGCACGTCATAAATGGTGTTAAAATATATATTATTAAATATTATAAAGGTGTAATTATAATTAAAATTAATCAATTAATTAATTAAAAAAAGAATTAGGTATGTTATAAATTCACATCCATAAGAGATACTATAATTTTTTTAATTGTAAATTATTGAACTATACATAAATTGTTTTTAAATCTTTAAAAGTTTTGCTAAGCAATTTATAGTTTTAATTTGAACCACAAATTAAAGATCTGAAGCCATTCGAAATGAAAATATATTTGAGAACTAAATCAGGTATCGTTAATGATAAATGTCCTGGTAATGTGACAAACTGGACATGAAAAAGAAGCAGAGTAAATTATACATCTATCATCCAAAATAATTCGAAGATAAAAATGGTTTGTGTTTCGACGAATTTTCGTTTTCGTAAGTCATACGCCGTATACACGGAAGTCACCCGTAATTAAAATCTCTTAATTTAATGCCAGTGCCTTCAAGTCGCTTTTTATTCCATTGGGTCAACGTTGAAATTTTTATATTAATTTTTTAGTGATGGTGCCATTTGCTGAAACCCTTCTTAACTACATAGTCGTTATATAGCGAAGTGATTCTGACAGGAAAATACCTGTTACGTAAAAATCTTGAAAGCATTATTGTAGAGATGAATCAGTCAGCTACTTCTACTATACAGAAAGTAGCATGCAAAGTTAATAAAGTAGTACTGATGCAGTTATGATTTTCCTAGTCGACAACGTCCCTCAACTGTTTAAATTTAAATAGTTAAGATTAATTTTTGAGTGAATTAAATGAGGGAAAAATTAGTCTCAATTATAGAAAAAATTCCAATTATTCGCTAATATACTAAAAAACAATATACTACTAGAATTTCAATTCTTTTTTTTCATTTAAAAATGGAAAAAAAGTTGCAGTGCAAAAATTTTGAGGAAAAAAGCTGCAGTTTAAAAATTTAAGTTAAAAATATAGTATTTTAAAGAAAAGTTTACCGCCCAAACTAGTTTAAGAATTAAAAATTCCAGTGGCAGAAAACAGAAATGGCTGGGTAGAACAATCTGGAAGGCGAAGTTATTTTTTGTAATATCACGTCATAAATTATTGCCATGTAGAGACTTTTGCACTTATTTTAGTTTTAAAAAATTAATTATTCTAGTCTGTGCAACTTTTTTCCAATGGATCGCTGGTGCACATGGCTAGTAAGAAATACTTCCAGCACGTAGTAAAGAGGTCACAATTTTTAATTTGTCGAGACAGAAAATTCGCGCAATTACATTAACAGTTCTCTCTTTGAGGTATCAAAGTTGATACTTTTACTAATAGTTTAAATTTAAAATTTCGCAAGCATTTATTTCGAAGAAAACAAACTTTGCAATGCACACTACTTTTTTTTTTCTTCCCCTAAACTCCTGATGTCATATGGTATCAGTCTGCAAAATAATCCCTTGCATTATACAAAATAATTAATCGAAGGAGCGCTCTCTAAATACCAAATCAGGCGATGCAGATAACGACAAAGGGCCTTCGATGGCCGGACTCGCCCCTCGGGATCCATTTAAACCAGCAGGAACCCTTTCGGAAAAAGGTCAAGAACGCGTCCGGGCTGATTGTCCTCGTTTACGTTCGTTCGTCGACCACACCCACTGTGCGGAGACGCCCAGCAATCGTTTGGCTTTTCTTGCTCGTGCCCCGCTGTCAGAAGCACGCGACTTGGAAAAGAACTTTATGGTCCCATCATCGTCTGGTCAAGATTGGAGTTATTAGGGGATGAAAGTGATTGAAGAAGCTATCTTAAGATTCTTCCCATTTATCAGATTATAAGCTATTTTTTACTTTTTAATGGAAGGTACATTTTTCATTCTGTAAAAGAAAGCATACTGTGCCTAACTGGAAGAGAAACAAGCCAATGCAAAACTTAAAATTGGTGGGGAGGACAAACTTATACTGGCATAAATTTTGAATGGAACTCTATCGATTTCCAGGGTGATCAAATATAGGTCTCTCTTTTGAAAAAGCAAACAATTTTTGCAAAGATGGGAAAAGCAACAACCATGTGACTATGGAAATCAGAGAGCGAAAACCAGTATAACGTCATCTATCGAGGAAAACAACGAACAAACGCGAAAAGCTAAGATATTAGAATTTTTTTAATTAATTGATACTAAATCCAATCCAATTCTTCCCAAAACTTCTAGTATTATAATATCTTAAATTTATCTTATTTCATTACTGCTTTAATCGGTAGATGTCGCTATATTCACTTTCCTTTACTCCACCCATTAATTTTTATATAAATATGATTGCTGTTTCATCTACTTTTGCAAAACGTTTTTGCTATTGAAGAACTTACGTCCAGTCATCTTCAAAATCCATAGAATTTTATTCAAAATCTTCTTCAAATAAAGTTTTCACGATTGCTAGCTAGCTTTTAACCTTTGCCGATATGTATAAAATGACTATTTTTTCAACAAAAAAAGGGGGGTCTAATAAAAGGTAGAAAGATACAGCTTCTCAAGTATCTATTTGAAATGAATGGTAACGTTAAATGACGTTTTCCAAGGGATTGCCACAGGGAGGATGATGTAACGGTATATGTACCTCAAATACCTAAAGTCACGGTTTGGATAGCTTTTTCTGTCCAAATGTTCCCAATTCCGTATTGTATCAAAGGTACTTCGCCTCTAATTCGATATAAAGCCGTTCTTGGGAAGAAGATTTTCTAGAAGGTTAAAAAAAATACGTATAGGAGCTTATTGGTTCCAACAGCACTTGCGGTCTGTTCGATCTATTTCGATATTCGGGATAAAAATCACAGCCTTTGGCTATACAAGAGGACAGTGCATGTGCAGCATGCACTGGCTGGCCTTTTTGTATGGATTTGAATCCGATTGATTGTCTTCTTGGGCCTGGATTTATCTATTTTAAAGCCCCAAAAGCACCTGAAATCCTCTAAAAATATTATTGGGATTTATATCAGTTGTCTGATAATAACATTAGAATGAGTCCTGGAATTTTATCGCAGCGAGAGGCACAGGAAGCAGCTTTCGTTGGCATGAGTCTTAGGCGCCTTATAGATAAGAGTACGAGTTTGTCCACAACCGTCCTGGTTTTGTAGAAGAATCCCCCAACGGGCATTTCCAATGGTCTCCCCTCTTCCTCTTTTACAAACTAACTCCAGAGGACTTTCGGATCATTGTGCATGTTAGGTGCTCTTCAAACATTTCGCTCTTCAGAGTGTATAAAATCTGAATGTGATCTCGAAGTTT